ACTTCAAAAGTCGAGACTGACCTGCCGGGCTAAAGGTATGTCTGTCACTGAAACTTTCCGCGAACAAAAAAAATCAGCATCGGTAGTACATTTTATTAACGAAAAGCTACCCACAAGCGCCTGACCTGCGAGCAAATTTAACTTACCTTCGAGTCTTTAAAGGACAAACAATAATGATTCTTGACATAAAGTGACCAATTGGTGGTTGGTTTATATAGCGATTCACCCCTGACATCATGGAATGGATTATAATTTTTAGGTTAGGTTACAGGCAAGGGTGTTCGGTCATCACACTTACGGCGTTGTCATCGTCCTCAGGTGATAAAGATATTTCACTCAGTAGCCTCGTTCAGTACATCAGGGGGATGGTATCATATAGAAGAGGTTAAGAAACAAGTGATTACATAAAGCCATTTTCACACGATGCAAACAGGTCATTGGTTACCGTGCGACCGTCAGACACGTAAGGAATGTACAAATAAAGAAGATTCACGGTTCTCAAGATCAATAATGTTGACTGACGGCTGACACGCCACCACAGGAATGCTGACACACACCACAGTAATGCTGACACCAGCTCCGACTACCACCCGAGATCCCTCGTCCGAGAATTGCTGTTCGACACCACAACCGCATCCAGCCCATACGAGCACGTAGTCCCAACCATTGTAAAAATTATCAATAACTTGTAATCAACCAGAGTATTCACTCCCAGCCAATCTTACCTTTTTGCACTGTCACTATGTTGAAATGCCCTGTAGTATGACCTTCTCCCCACCTAGTTCTTGTATATCATATCTGTATCACTTATGTTACTTGTATATTATTTGTCAATCAAGTGACCCATTCCCCAATTATGTAGATGTATATTTTCCGCCTTTTGGCTCCCATACTATTTCAGTAAACCGTTAATTATTATTATTAATGCGGACACACACACACACACCACCACAGTAATGCTGACACACACACACACACACACCACAGTAATGCTGACACACACACACACCACCACAGTAAATGCTGACACACACACACACACACCACACACACACACACCACCACAGCCTGCTGACACACACACACCACCACAGTAATGCTGACACACACACACACCACCACAGTAATGCACACACACACACCACCACAGCCTGACACACACACACACCACAGTAATGCTGACACACACACACACACCACCACAGTAATGCTGACACACACACCACCACAGCACACACACACACACACACCACCACAGTAATGCGACACACACACACCACAGTCACACACACACACCACAGTAACTGACACACACCACCACAGCCTGACACACACACACCACAGTAACTGACACACACACACACCACCACAGTAACTGACACACACACCACCACAGTAACTGACACACACACCACCACAGTTGCACACACACACACACCACCACAGTAATGCTGACACACACACCACCACAGTAACCTGACACACACACACACCACAGCACACACACACCACCACAGCACACACACACACACCACACCTGACACACACACACACACACACACACACACCACCACAGCCTCCACACACACACCACCACAGTAACTGACACACACACCACCACAGTAATGCTGACACACACACCACCACAGTTGCTGACACACACACCACCACAACACACACACACCACCACAGTAACACACACACACACCACCACACCTGAGACACACACACACACACCACCACAGCCCTGACACACACACCACCACAGTTCTGACACACACACACACCACCACAGCCTGACACACACACACACACACACACACACACACACACCACCACAGTAACTGACACACACACACCACCACAGTAATGCTGACACACACACCACCTGACACACACACACCACACACTGACACACACACACACACACACACACACACACACACACACCACCACACGACACACACACCACCACAGTAATGCTGACACACACACACACCACCACCTGACACACACACACACACACACACACACACACACACACACACACACCACACACACTGACACACACACACACACCACAGTAATGCTGACACACACACACACACCACCAACATGCTGAACACACACACACACACACAACCACAGTAATGCTGACACACACCACCACAGTAATGCTGACACCCACACCACCACAGTAATGCTGACACACACACACACACCACCACAGTAATGCTGGTCTTGAAGGAGCTCACACTTGGAGCCGTCAGAAGACTGGCAGACTGTTCAAAGTTCGCAACACTCACAAAAAATTTGTCCTGACAATTTTCATGAGCTGTGGCAGTGGTTTCCAACCTTTTCAACTTCATGGACAAACGGAGTGAAACAAATCTGCGGACCGATAATTGTAAATATAGTCTCTCGGTATTTCATGAGATTGGGATTGCTATTTACAGCGAAATACCTGTTCGCGAGGTTTCTATAATTACAATGGGGAAGATGGTATACGGGACCGAAGACTCATAACTACGCCAAAATGCCGTTCAGACATTATTTTACGGAACATTGGTAGCAGTTTAGCAGCGAGGCTCCACTTTACAGGTGTATATAGTACATTCCTGTCTTATTAAAGTCTTTACGCAGCATCGTAGGTGATTAGGCCTGTAGTTTAAAAAAGGTGATAATAGAAATAATGTAGAGGAATGCAAGACATTCATTCTACCGACTGACTGAGCTATGTTTAAACCTCCGGGGTCTAACCTAACGCATCTTAACATTGTGCACAGTATGTAAGTTCTTTACGTATCAGTTTTATTGAGAGGTATGGCTCTTAAAGACGCCTCCATCGTCAAAATATTTATAAGAACAAGGGAGACCAGCCAGACTGTGGCAACTACTGTGGGATCTCGCTCTCATCCGTAACGGGCAAGATTATTGCCCAAGTCCTCCTAAACGGCCTTCTTCCCGAGACGGAAAACTTCCTCCCGGAATCTCAATGTGGCTTTAGACCATCACGTGGCACCACTGACATGATCTTTGCTGCCCGCCAAATACAGGAAAAGTGCAGAGAACAGCGTCGTGACCTGTACATGGCTTTCATCGACCTAACCAAGGCCTTCGACTCAGTCAACTGGGAAGACCTCTGGTGGATCCTCAGCCGTTTTGGCTGCCCCCAAAATTCATGGCCATTGTGAGTCAACTCCACGATGGCATGACCGGCAGTGTCGTTCACAATGACACCCTGTCAGAGTTCTTCCCCATTAAAACAGGGGTTAAACAAGGGTGTGTACTGGCACCAACTCTCTTCCATTTTCTTGGCTGCCTTCCTTACTCGTGCCAGTGCCAATATAGCCAGCAGGGTGGACATCGAGTACCGGATGAAGGGTCTTTCCAACATAAGACGTCTCCAGGCAAGAACAAATGTGTCGGCAGCTTCCATTACTGAATTTCAGTATGCAGACGACCTCACTCTTGTTGTTCACACTGAGCGCGACGTACAGGAGACCCTGAACACCTATTTAGAGGAGTATGCACACTTCGGCCTTGAAGTGAATGTACACAAGACTCGGATTCTTTTTCAACCTGCCCCTGGTTCAGACACACCCCCACCATCCATTCATCTTAACAGTACTACCCTCTCTAATGTTACCCACTTTCGGTATCTCGGCTCCCACCTGTCCACCACCGCAGACATCGATGAAGAGATTCAGCATCGGATCAGATGTGCATCTCAAGCCTTTGGCAGACTCCGAAACCGTGTCTTCAGCTGTAGGGAGCTGAAGTTATCTACAAAGTTACACCAATATCGAGCAGTGGTCCTCCCCACCCTGCTCTTTGGCAGCGAGACATGGGTCACATACAGGAGGCACCTCAAGGCACCTGAAAAACTTTCACTAACGTAGTGTACATTCCATCCTCCAAGTTCGCTGGGAAGACAAGAGAACAAATGCCAGTATTCTTGCTGACACCAACTGTAGGAGCATCGAGGCTACCATTATCCATGAACTATGTTAGACTGGCCATGTTACCAGCATGGACGACAGTAGACTGCCAAAGCAGCTACTTTACAGTCATCTAACGAATAGTAAACGTAACGCCGGCGGGCAACTGAAAAGGTAGAAGGATAGTCTAAGACAAACCTGAAAAAGTGCCAAATCGACCCCCTCACCTGGGAGACGATTACTCCACACCATAACGCTTGGAGGAGCACCACACAAGATGGTGTCAATACTTTCGAGTTAGCCCTAGGCAGACAAGCGCCAACGCCGGAAACGCGCTGCCACCACCCCTCCCGCACTCGATGTAGCCCTCCACATTTGCAATATCTGTGAACAACTCTGCCGGTCCCGTATCGGCCTCTTTAGTCACCTCAAAACTCACCAATGAAGGTGACATCTCTAATAACTAATCATTGTATCATAGCTGAATGATTGTCATATTCGATTCCGAGTGACAGCAAAGTAGTAGTAGTCGTCATTAACAGCCTCAACCAGTGAAGGGCTTTAGGTAAAGACATTGCTGGAAATTTAATTACCTAAAAACTATGAAGAAACTTAAGGCCTTTTATACAATCTGAATTTGCTGCGATATGTACCCATGAATTACAGTAACTGAGTATAGACGAAACAAGTTTTTATTTGACCAAAAATCTTAGCAATGCAGGAATATTTCTAGACCGTAATTTTTAAGATTGTAGTTAAAATGACCGTGCTTGTATTGTATAATTGTAATCTACATACATTTATATATGCACAAGGTGACAAATATTGTTAAATATTGCTCCTTTCAAAAGAACATAAGAAGAGTTCAATAAATAAATGAACTAGTAATAATATTCTCTCATTTAACCCCTCTATTTAATAATGACTCATAACTGTACACACAAACTAACCATCTTTTATGCTTGTATTCCATGTACTGTATAGCACGCAGACACAGGACAGAGGGAGGGTGTACTGTGCAGCGTCAGTTTGTTGATTATGTTTTTGTCAATTTTTCAGGTAGTGGGATGCTGCATTCTTTGCTACATGGCCTGGGTCCTCGCTACCTCCATCACTGTGTCCCGCTTTCTCTCTGGCACTTTGGTAAGTAGATGATGTCTTACTGTGCTGTATATCGTAACTTATGGGTCAGCAGCAAAATTACGTTGCACTATAGGGCTTTAGGTGAATTACTATAGTCCTTACTAATTTTGAACTCGGGTCAATCTGAGAGAGAGAGAGAGAGAGAGAGAGAGAGAGAGAGAGAGAGAGAGAGAGAGAGAGAGATATACTGACTAACGATCAGCCCGGACACACACACGTAGAAAAGTCGTATTCCCACCTATGATTTACATCAATTTTGATCCTTAGGTTTTCTTTCATTATGGCTTACTTTTCTCTGCATCTAACCTCCATCTTACACCACATAGAGGTTGAAAAGTTGTATCCCATCCCAAGCAGAGCTAATTTTCTCCTTATACTCTCATGACAGCTTACTTTTCTTTGATCTCTAACTTTTCTAGGCTGTCCATTCTAACAAGGTAGGTAGTCCTAGCGAAAGAGCCTCCCGGAGGGCGACGTTTCTGCTAGTATCTTATACAATTTAACAGTGTTGCATACGGTTTGTGCTGCTCGACAATAATTGATGTTGTTAACAGTATATTCTAGTACAGTATTTATTTCCAGTATAACTGGTGATGCCGCCTTAGTTTTATTAACTTAGATTGGCTGTCATCCGCTTGGCGCTTTTGATATGAACACCAATTGAAGGCCGTCTTGGCATGGTCTACTCGCCTAGCCTAGTCCGTGAACTAAGGATGTTGGTGGTCACAGGGGTAACGAGCGTATCTCCTACACCATACTGAGTGAAGGGTTCGAGTCCAGGCCCATGACTCGCATGAAAAGGGTGCTGGTACCGGTTTCCTCCTGTACTAGCACCGGAAAGACCAACGGCTAGTCAGCTGTTAGTGAAGAAATGATAAATTTTCAGACGGCCGAAAAGGTAATCCACAACACTATTAGAATTCAGTTAGTTTAGTGCACAGATTGGGGATCTTTATTGATGGAACACAATGAACAGGAGTCAAGTCTGTTTACGTCAGATCAATAAATTATTCTTTACTGTTCAAGACATTTGGTTAACGACTAGGGATAAAGTGTTGTAGGATGCTCAGATAAAGGTACGACTGGTTAATGACTACCTAAGAGCACACACACACTTGTTCTCCCGAGGATGTGTAAAAAGAATGCTTAAGCAATTGGTGGAGTAGGTTCATTGTGGAGCTCAAGTTACGTTAGTTATTACTGTACAACGAAGGCCGTACAAATTTAATTACAGGTATTTATGAACGTTCAACATCTGTACTGTACTTGAATGAATATCCATACAGAAGAAAACATACGGTACCAACATTGCCTCACTTTCCTCTTCTGTTAAACTCGTCTTGCTGAATCACGACGCTGTACTAAATGCCCTGCAGTAAACATCTGATGAATTATGACTTTCGGACCAACAATGCTTCTCGTATTAATGGCATTCGCAATTGCCTGTACTCTCTTTGACTTGACTCATCCTGCGAAAGCTTTCAAGAGAGATGGTGATAGAGGTGCTACTCATTACAGTCTGCTGTCCAGAAAATTTGTAGAGAAACCAGATCTCTAAAGGCATCGGTAACGTATACTCGAACTTACAGGAAAATTCATGAAATAATAGACTGAAGTTAATACTGTTGACGGGATCATGTCTGCTAGGAATAATTCAGAAACATCCAGAGACATGAATTTGGCCTCTTCCAAAATCGAGCGTTTTATTTAATGCTCTGCACCACATGATGACTACCTGTGCATCCCTAGGTCTCGGAAACGACTGAACCGACCATCTCATAATTAACTGCTACGTGCTCCTAAAGCGGCTGGCAATAGTGTGAACGGTGGACGTACTGTACAACTCGTAAACCACATAATTCGTCCCAGGCAATTTCGACCCCATGACATTTTCAGTTTATTGCTATTGAATGCTGTTATACTTATTAAATATACATAACGTCTTTACTTTTGAGGCGATGAAGTCATGTTTAGGTTAGGTTTACATTGGTGTTAATGGTTTGTGAATAAAGATAAATAATAACGCCTAATCTTTTAAGGTAACTTAGCACTAATCAGAAACTACCAATTTATACACTTTATACACCAATAGGAACATAAGCCGTTGCCGAACAGCCCTTACCTTCGCAGACACTCACTGACTCACTCATTTTTTGCAAAGATTTTAGTTATATTACATTTCATATTCTCTTTCTGGTTCAGAAGTCTGTATCACGAATTATAATAGTCCTAACAGTTATAAAGTGCGCTCACCAGTTTGCTGCTTGTCATTAATTGGACGATTAAATCACTAAACTCAAAATGACAAAACTAGTGATCTATGTACGGACAATAATTCTTCGTGAACCTTGTCTAAACTGGTAATAAAAAGCTCAGAAAGCACCCACTAATGCAGTGGTCCCAACCTTTTGTAGGCTCTGGACCACATTTATCGTTGTACATAAGTGGAGGGCGCCAAAACTTTGGATCTACGCTCAAGAAAAAATCTCATATTAATTTCACTCTTTCACTCTTACGAAGAATCCCAAATAATTCACAATTTTCTGTTAAACCCTTGCGGGCTCCATAATATGCTTCGGCCATGGCGTCCACGAACTACAGGTTGGGGACCGCTGCAGACCTGCCATCTGACTGCCGTGCGGTGTGATTCTGCTGTTAACTATTTAAAAAATCATTTTAAACCAGTACAAGTTGAAATAAGAATTTCTGTATTGTTTATCTCGCCCAGTTTGCTAGTGTTAAACAATGCATTTTTGTAATGTCACCAGCTGGTATTGTGGTGGTGTAAACGTTGCTGACAGCATTTTGTTCACGTATGACTCGTCGAATGACCAGAGATGTATTTACAGAAACGCTACAGACCTTGAAAGAATTGTACCTAATTATATCTCCTTTCAAAACTGAAAGTTTATACTGTATACAAAACGCTGTGCCGATCTCTTCTGGGTGATAATAGAGCAAGTAGTTATCCGAAAGCTCATTACAGTATAAAGCAAGGAATGTGATCAGATGTTTTTAACCTCGAGTACAGTTTCTTCTTGGGCAGTTTGAATTAGTGTTATAGTAACAAAATATTAGAAAACAGAACATTTTCTTGCCTACTTACACTAATTTCTGGAGCTGGAACTTTTCAGTTTGATGAACGGCAACTGTTTTTTTATATGACGTAGTTTTACTGTACACTTTAATTTCGAAAACACCAATATTTTTTAGAAAACTAGTAGAAAACACCGAAAATGATTAAAGGATAGGAAAAAAAATAAATTACCTCGCTAGTGGACCTGTTAAGAGGTTTTTCCTCCCTTGGGTTTGGGCCTGATTCCTGGTACAGTAGTTGTATGAAAGCTGCTGTCGCGCCGTCACAAAATTAACACCACAGGACACTATGCTTGGAGGAGGAGTTGCTGTGGGGATGATAGTAGTGTTCTTTGCCCATGCATGCCAGTGAGATCCTGCTGATTATTTTTAGTTTCATTTAATATATTATTCAGTTTTCCGTCGTCTTAATATTCTTTACAGGTGAACTATTGCGAGATAGTGTGAGGCTAACTCAGCTGAAGTTTTTTTTTTTTTTTTCAATTACCCTTGTACACCTGTTACAACACTTGCGTCTTTCTTTGTGCTAATGGTTCATGCTCGGGGCACCCCAAGTTCATGTACACTCAAGACTTAGTATTTAGTGCGTTGTATCTAAGGAGGTATGACTGGAGGCAGCGATACTCGGGGGTCAGAACTGAAGCCAGCCGACCCCACGCCCTGGCATTTTGGTGCAGGATATTGACAAAATCGTTATTACTGGCCGCCACTACCCAAGCACCAGGTAGCATAAATATTCCTTACAAGTACAGTACAGTACTTATAAATTGTTAGTGAAAGGCAAAAACGAACTGTGGTATTTTAATAATTGTTGTGATGGATATAAACAATCACTTCAAATAATTACACAGTAAATCCTTACAATCAACATAACTTAAAAAATTATGACCTTATTGACCACTAAACACGGAATGTTTCCTGTAGGTTCGGGGACTTCAATTTATTTGTAGCCTTGAGGTGAACTGTTTACCTCACTTGTGTACAGTACTTCTTGGCAACAGTTTTAATTAACTATGTCATGTGATTTTCTATATCTATCTATCTATCTATATATATTTATTTTTTATTTTTTTTTATGCGTTAGATTGCAGGAACATTTTGAGAACAATATAACTACAACATGAACCTAAAAACAGTTTGACATACAGTAAAACAAGTAAGGTCATTCTTTATAATTAACTCATAAAAAAAGATTCATCATATCGCCTTCCACAAAATATGTATTTCCCCTAACAGTCAAGACTCCTATAGATGTTTACTCCGCCGTCTGCTGTATCGTAGTACACCGGAAGTAAATCCCATTATTCACATATATTTGTGTACCAATAAAATATAACGAAGTAAACTACAGTGTATTAAGTGGTTATGGCGAGATTGTTCAGGTTATTTTGCTAACTGAAGTGACCATAGTAATTACCAAGCCGTTGCGCGAACAAGCTCTGTTAAAAATGGTTTTCTTTATCTGAAAGTCTAATGAAGGAAAGGCAGATCATCGTGCTTCAGCTAAATCTGCAACTTGAGGTAAGAGATGCAGTGTAACACTTGACCACTACAAGGTTTCCCCAACACGTAACTGAGGTGAATGTGGTTGAATGATTCAGGTGACAGTCTGATCTGGTTTTGGTCGAACGACCAGTTAAAAAGGAAAGTTCACATACTGAAATGAGAGTTTAGTGTCAGTGATTTTCGTAATTTACTAAGTTTAAAATTACTTAATAATAATGGAATGATTATACCTGTGTTAGTATTAGCCATGAGAACTAAATAATTAAACTTTATCCCAGTGACGGGCGTGAACGTGTTCACTTTCCAGTAGTATGTGCGGTCTAATGAGAAAATGGCGCGTCATAAAGGTGTGGTACTGCAGACACGCCACACCTTCACTCATCCCACGGTAAAAGTTGTCACTTTCAGTAAGAGTCTCTGTTGACTACATCCTCCGTCACACTCGTTCTCCACCTTACCTTCCCACTCCGTAACACCTTTGTGAGAAAAGTGTGTGGGTGGGGAGGGAAAATTGTAGACACCTTCTGTACGTCTGTTGCGTAAGAAAAAATTTAGTGGCATTCCATTGCATTATCCTCCATTAAGTCATATTATCTTGTACAGTGACGTAGTACACAGAGGGTTGTGAGATCTGGTCACCAGTTCGAAACTTAGCTGGACGTAAAAACAACTAAATGTTATTGTTACTTAGGGTTTTTTTTCGAATTGTTTTGAAGAAAAAAAATACATTTTGGGTCAATAAAGTAGCCAAAGTATATTGTGTGAGGGATATTTAATAGGTTGAGAAAGTGGTGCGGGCCCCGAGTACATACAGTGCTCTGAGAGTACTTTATGTACTCGGCCCCCTGACCGATAGTTGCCGGTCCACCCCTCGTCCACTCGGCTTTACAATTGGGGAAATAAAGTGGTCAAGTGTGCAGTACGGGTCACATTGCCTCCATGTAATTATATACCAAAAATACTCTAGTGTTGTATCCACAATGTTCTTAGAAGGCCAACGGGATCCACTGTCAGTTGTCACGGTGTGTGTCTGGACTTAATGATTGCAAAATATTAGCTTTCAGAGTTTCAAAGACAATAAGAACTGAACATACCATCTGACTTGACCCATACTGAAACATACACATCTTACTGTATATGCTTATGTCCATCCAAAATGTTTGTGTCAACTTTTAGAATATCACTCAAAATTGTACAACAGGATTTCATAGTGTCTGACTACGGGACGGACTCGTCAGGCGTATATACTAGCGGGACTCAGAAAAGTAGTTGGACTGTGTTTGGCTGTCCATGGAATATTAAAGACATGAATGTACATTGTTCATACGCCTCTTAGTTTCTTGAAACCTTGATGGGTTTGGTTTACTACAGGTGTCCACACTACCATATCTTGATTATTGCGTGTAAGTACAATTGACTGCTGGGTGTTCCTCTCCCGCACTGTCTTATGGTGTGAACGAATGCTTAAACACTCTGGTAACAAGTGTCAGCACCGAAATTTTCTTAAAACGTCCAGGGCCATGTGTGTGTGTGTGTGTGTGTGGTGGCTGGTGATACCGAGTTTCTCTGCCTTGTCTGTCACTTTCCGTAACTTAGAAATGACAAGATTCACATAACCTATCACTCATTTTTTTTTAAGCAAGGATCTAAGTTTAGTGCCTCATGTCCCGTATTACGTATTATTTTTTGAATATATGACAAACGCAATTGAGGGCAGTTGAGATACAGTATATTGACGTGTGAAACCCCATGACTTTGTTTTCAGGAATAACATGAAGATAAATGTGTGAATGCGTCGTAATAACAAGGTGCGTGTAGATCAGACTTGACTTGTCGAAGTACAGTGTTAGTGAGCGTTTCTATCAACTTTCTAAACCTACGAGAACGTGTGAGATATAACTGAGAATGCTTGTAACTAAAGCTTACTTACATTTCGGCACAGAAGGCATTCAAAGCGAAATGGAAATTGCACCAAGATTTCAAATAAATAAATAAATAAATAAATAAATACATACATACGATGTCTTATATTACGAGAACAAATCACACACACAAAAAAAGTGGATACGAGCGCGCGTGTGAACAGCTACTAATCTAAAAATAAATCCTCTAAACTACGTCAACTAGAAGTCAGAGGTGACAAAAAAGTAAATTTGCATAAATAACCCTGTATTAAATTTTGAGAATTTTATGGTTGCAATCAATAGTTTAGACAATTCTCAGACACCTTTCTCCTATGAATTTCCTTCGCAAATGACCTCGCCTGACCTCCGAACTGGGGGGGGGGGGGCTCTGTCATTCTGGAGGCCCCGGCATATTGTCATTAGCGAAGGAAACATCATAGGAGAATCGTGTCTTAGAATTGTCAAAACTATTGATTGCAACCATAAGTCTCAAAATTCAATACCTGGTGATTTATGCAATAATGCCACAAAAACACTTCGTTTCTATGAAAGAACGAACAGCAAAAAACCTGCTAGACAGGTGTTTTGTAATGGTTACTAACCCCATAAAGCTTTATAGTTTATACTTTCCTGTTCCGTGTGGTCTCTGAGTTCTTCCATACGTGTAACCTCATAGCGGTCACAGCAGAAGTGAAAAATATATGTTACATTTGGCACGACTTTGAGGAGAAACTGCCTCTATCATCAATTTATTTTGAGGTTTTATCATTGTTAATGACAAACGGAGAATTATGCAAGTACTTGATATCAACAAGAGCAGCCGTTTCCCCCATATCATGGGTAACTCGAAAGGTTTCAACAGCATTTAGTAATAAAGAAAACTACATAATTGAAGAAATGAGGCAGAAAAATAAATTTCTATGACAAAATAGTGTTGTTTCTGTGACATCTTCGTCTGTTTTAAATGTAGTTGCTGCAGCCCACAACAATAATAGTTCTTCGTCTGAACAAAAAAATAAATAACTCGTGAACTGGTCTGTCAATTCTTTCAAAGATAAATCAATGATAATTCAACGTCTTTATCACCCATTTATCGGCCGACATATTAGCCGTAGTGTAAACGAGTCTTAAAGGAAACTGATCACCCAGCTTATTTCACCTGGTGATTAAACACGCTAACGTTACCTGGGCAGGTTCGGTTAGGTTGGGATTGTTAATCTTAGGGTGTTGCAAGAGGAAAAAATCTTCCGGTGGTCACAAGAAATATACTGTTCACCTACAGGGCACTGCTATACCTACGGTACACTGGAGAAATTTAATACACATTTCCTCACTAAATGTTATAAGTTGTGCTTCGTATAAAAATGCATTATTTTTGTTTAAATTAGTTTAACTTTATTTATACTGTACAGGAAACTTATTCGTTAAATTGTTACATTACTCGAATTTTGAATATATTTATTAAAGAAATCTAAAATACTTGGGAATATATTTACTGCAAATCTTATTTTTATTAATTATTTGCATTGCGAGTTGGAGCTAATTATTGTTGTTGCTGCTGCTGGAGGAGATAAAAGACAAAGTAGGTTTTGTGGTGAAAAAGAGAAAATAGGAAGAAAAGTGTAAGTTTAACAGCCCCATCTTACTGCCAGTACAGGCTGCCACCCTCCCCCTCCAAGAATATATTTTAATTCCCGACACCTTCAGCACTGGTACAGTAATACAGTGTTGTCATCAATAACCATGTACCTTTATGTTGCAGATCTTCACGTACAGCGTGCTGGGCGTGGGCTTCCTCTTCTTCATGAGTGGGTTGGTGGGCTGGGTGGCCGGCGCCTCCGAGATGCTGTGTGTTCTGCGTCTGGTGAGTAGCCTCTCCAGGTTCTCTTTTTACCGTCTGGTGAGAAGAGAAGGGTGAGGTTGTTATTTTTATTTTGGTTTTATTTTTTTTTAAATGCATATAATTTTCATGTTCTGCTCAGTGTTCTACGCTCATCAGGTAGTGTAAATTTTCTTCCTTTGTGTATGAACTGTCGTAGTTTCGTGCAGTGTCTATATTCAGAGTACCGTCCTCATATCCGAGGGTTGCTGACCAAACTCCTTTATTCTAAACGTTCTCAGCGCCACTGCTCCCCTATCCACTGTCTTGTCTGGTCATGCTTCCCGACCCATGACTACACACACACACACACGTCAGCAACTCGCCATCACTGTGACGTAACAATATTATCATCGTAACCAAACCATAGTTAGTGAAGCACTTCTGTGACAGCGGGGCCACGCCCTTCCCGGTTTATATAATGAGTCACGTAACGTACTGTACAACTAACCTACCTTACGCATGTAGTGGTGTGTGGCAACGTGAAGAAAGAACAAGATTTTGCCAGACCAGGTTGTACCCAAGTGTGGCCCACGCCTGACTCCAATAATAACACCCGTTCCTCAACTGTACAATCGGTCAAACCACTGGATTTTTTAAAAAGTTATTTAGACGTGGAATTCATACAGTGCCTACAGCTTATTATACATCATATAGGAGTAGCAGGGATGTGAATATATGCTTGAAATCACACAAAGACTTCAAGAACTTAACAGGGAGGTACTACCGCCTGGGAAGATATTGGAAGCATAATGTGTTGTCTAATGGTAGACCCTGCTGCCATATGGCATTGCAAAAATTGTGACTAAGTCCCAGGTTGTTGATCTGACTTTCTGCCTCATTTACACACAATTGCAGGGTCTCAATTGTTTCTCTTGTTATTGACAACACAACATACATATATCGTTTCTCACTAATGATCTTTTTATTTAATTTCTTTATGGTTCCTTATTATAATTATTATTATTGTTAACATTATTATTTTATTTTTGTATTTTTTATTATAAATTTTACTTATCTGAATTATTATTATTTATTATTATTATTATTATCATCATCACGTTTTCGCCCCTCGGGCCCTGATGTGGGTCGGTGACCTGTGTCCTGGTGGGCTAATACCCGTAAATAAAAAAAGTAAAAAAATAAAAAAAAGATAAGGATAAACCTTCGAACAAGTGAACCGTTGGCTTCGGCTTCGCCCCCTCAACCATAGAAAGACCCTGCCCTACAGGATCTTCGGCTACTTCACCCCCATACGTAAAATAAAATCACGGACAAAACCGTGTAGCTTTAACACCGTGTGGCTATTGGCTATGTTTTTATGTCAGGGTAAAGAGTTTAATATGACAGGAGGGTTTGTCAAGAAAAAAGATCGGCGGTAAGAAAATTTACAAAAGGTTTAATACTATGCGGAAATTGTCTGTTGTAGCCGAGTAACTCGAGTATGATGGAGACAGTATTTGGCGACTGTAGACCAACCGGAGTCCATTACTGTATATTTTATGAACAGGCTGTTTGTATGTATGACTCGGCTGTGTATCTACCTAATTTACTCATTGGCCACCCCAACTAGAGGTGGCCATGTCGAAGGAGCATGTCACCCTGGAGAACAAAGTTGTGTCCTTTTGTGTTGGTGGTCCCTGACATCACGAAAAAGTAGGATTTTGAACGTCACCGAGATTTGTCCTCTTGTGTCTTGTCTGAAGAGTTACTAGTGGGGATGTTAACATTGTGTAATTCTTTATTAGTTATATCCTCGTTAAGGCACCGCTTGGGGACTGATCAAAACAAGGGTTATATCCACGGCCTGACCCTTGTTTTGATCTCTTGTGTCCTATCGGGACATTAAGCTTTGTTATTCTTGATAATCATGCCGTAAACGTTTTGCATAAATGACCATGAGTATAATCGAGGAGTGAACTCAGCTAGGATAATAATACTGTAACTGGGAATGGAAAAAAAATTTATTTGTGATAAACTCCAAGCTTGTTTATGGTTTTGTGTCTTATTAAATCTGGCTCGGTTTCGAGTATTCTTACGTCTTCCACTTTTATTCAGTTTGGTCATGTATTTTGTGTAGGTGTATAAGCAATGGAGGGTGGTGATAATGGGTACATTTTAGGGTGGTCACCGTGGTAATGCACCTGCCACTACCCGCGTGTAACGGAAGGGCGTCACCACACACAGCAGGTACTCCCTGATACACTGTGACTCGCCTGGTAATTGTGTGAACTGTCCCGTTACCAACGGGGTAATTATAATATTACTGCTCTTCAACAAAAGTTTTTAAGCGCGTAGCAAAGTTAGTAATATACACTAGTCCAACAATATTACAAAACTATGAAGCTACAACTCTAAGTTAATTACCCAACTGCCTCTTAGTAACAACTACAAAATAATGGACTAGGCCAGATGCACCAGCCACGCTGTCAGCCGTCCGTTATGACAGTCAAAATGTCGTGATGGTAGACTCGTTCACTACACTATTTCCATCCTTTTCGCCGATTTACAGTATGTTTCGCCCAATCACAGATCATTTCAAGCTTTCTTTGTGAATGCCATGGGAGTATATTCCTCTATAAGCGTCAGAACTGTAACTTAGGGTATATTTATAATAAGAACATTACTCGATATATACAGTATTGTTAATAAAGTTTCACATTTTGATTTTTGTAAACTCGCAGTCAATTAAAGATTATATTTGGTTTAGTTTGTTTTTTTCTTACCAAACTGACCTTTCCTGGCGAGTTAGTTTCATCGTGAAGTTCGTAACCAGAAACAATTCATCCAGAAAGATATTTACGTCTCAATGTTGACTTTAAATTAAAATTCTACGATCTATTTTGTCAAGCTGGTTTATCATTCAAAACCACAACACGTGTGTGCACCATGTAATAGTGGAGAGAATGCGAGACGTGTAATAATTATATTTTATCTCCGTGCGTAGCATTTTACAGCCGATGACAAAGCAGCTTCCTCAACAGAGAGAGGCAACAAACTTTCCTAAAATATCAAGTGAAAGTGCAAGTTATTCTCTGTTCGATTACATTCGAGTGAATACTACACTCGTGAAAGTCGACGGCCTCGTAATATTGCAGGTTGTTAGCCATTACACAGCTATACTTTACCCGCGTTAATACCCCCCCCCCCCTACCTGGTGCTACATTATTGATATTCAAAGTATATTTTATAATGATCACATATTTATGTATTCGTGCACTTAAAGGTATTACATATGCATAAGATATTCACGAATATTAAAACACCCGTGACTTGCTAAGAAACCCCGGCGTTGGAAGCTCATCAATAGCTTGTGTGTAATTGGCGAAGTGTGCACAAAACATATGGAGCCTTATCTATATCATATAAAGTTACCACGTTGTATGTATGTATGTATACATGTATGCATGCATATATACATGCATGCATGTCAAAAGAATAAAAATAAAGCAATGAATTACGTTAACACTGCATAAACATATAAAAACTAACACTGAAATTAACTAACGTGAAACACTGAATTACCTAACGTAACTAAGCAAGCACTGATGGACACAAATAAAGACATAAATAGGTACTCACATAGATATACCACATTGGTGGCGACAGTAACAACACAAATAAATTAAGTAGAAGTAACAGGTGACGAGGGTGACTCAAAGGATGTGAACTGTTTGACAGGAGGACTGAACTAACTCCGTCAGTTGGTGGGTCCTATATATAAGGTCGGCTCCCGCCACGCGACCCGCCGGTGGGTCGTTTAACGATGCAGATGGTCGTTTAGAAACAAAGAATGCTGGTTACAATACTAAATGGGTTTGAACAAATAATAACAGATAAAACCTTAACAGCATAGGGTAAGGTGACTAGATTATATAATTGTAAATACAACACATCATTACAGGAATAATATGGAACAACATGGAAGCATGTTATATAAAAAAAATACGACACGGTCGTAACAATATATATATATATATATATATATATATATATATATATATATATATATATATATATATATATATATATATATATATATATATATATATATATATACATACATACAGGGTGTCCCATAAATTTCAATACATAGGAAAAATAAACCTTTTTATATGAAAATCCATTTTTATTTATATAATATGCTCTACATGACTACCATTCTGTTGAAAACACTCTTCAATGTGTGTCCTCCACTGCTGAAGAACACTTTCAAGCACAGCTGGAGTTATGCTTGTAATGGCGTTGGTGATACGTTGCTTGAGATGATTTATGTTTTGTATCTTTTCCAGATACACCATGGCCTTCAAATGCCCCCAAAGGTAAAAATCAAGTGGGGTAAGGTCTGGGGATCTGGGAGGCCACTCCACAGGACCACGCCGACCAATCCAATGTTAAAAACCATATGTATGGAAACTTATGGGACACCCTGTATATATATATATATATATATATATATATATATATATATATATATATATATATAGTGAAACCTCACTTTACGCTGTCAATTGATCAATTAAACCCACGGAGGCCCGCGTAAAGCGGGAAACACGTAAAGTGAACAACAGAACATATGGGATTAATTGAAATAGAGACCGGGCAGACCCCCAAACTCCACTTTTTCAGACACAATACCTACGTTGCAGTAAAAATAACTTCTTAATTTTATGATGGTATGCACACACAATTAATAATTAAGAGAAATATCAATTATATTAGGTTTTTAACACTTACATTAGTAGAAAAGATGGCTGGGCACACGGGGATGGGAGGTTGGTTCCGAGGCAGAGGGCAGATTATTGGCCCTCACCTGTATCACTTGTATCACTTGTATCACTATCCACCACAGAGGCTTGCAGGGCCTCTTTGTCAAACCCCTCAAAGTCCATATAAGTCCATATCCTCACTATCACTAACTTGGGCCAGCTGTGGTGGGTGGTGGGCGAAGAACTCAGTAATGTTTTGATGACTGGGCGACCTTGTGCGCACCCTGCCCGCGCCACTTCCTGTGTATATGAGTAGATGCACCGCGTAAAGTGAGCATTCCGGGTCTGGCAGGGTACCGTGTAAACGTGGAAACGCGTAAAAAAAAAATGCGTAAAGCGGGGTAATACTCTGTGTGTGTGTGTATATATATTAACCTTCGAGCACTGACACTTGTACTACGTCACAGAAAGGAACGCCATGTTTGGTGGGACACACCAGGAAAATCATGTTAAAAACAGCTCTCACAGGCATGCATGATACACCGTCAAAACAGCCTCACAGACATACTGTACACTCTCACAGACATACACTGTTACAGCAGCCTCACACACCCTCACAGACATACACTGTTACAGCAGCCTCACACACTCACAGACATACACTGTTACAGCAGCCTCACACACTCTCACAGACATACACTGTTACAGCAGCCTCACACACCCTCACAGACATACACTGTTACAGCAGCCTCACACACCCTCACAGACATACACCATCACAGCAGCCACACACACTCACAGACATACACCATCACAGCAGCCTCACAGACATACACTGTTACAGCAGCTCACACACCTCACAGACATACACTGTTACAGCAGCCTCACACACCCTCACAGACATACACTGTTACAGCAGCCTCCTCACACACCCTCACAGACATACACTGTTACACAGCAGTTCACACACCCTCACAGACATACACTGTTACAGCAGCCACACACACTCACAGACATACACCATCACAGCAGCCACACACACTCACAGACATACACCATCACAGCAGCCACACACACTCACAGACATACACCATCACAGCAGCCACACACACTCACAGACATACACCATCACAGCAGCCACACACACTCACAGACATACACCATCACAGCAGCCTCACAGACATTCACCATCACACTTTTTTGGCATTTTACCCATAACCAAGATATCATGAGTTGAAAATCAGAAAACTACCAGAAGAATAATATTCTAGGTGGTGATGAGGTCTAACTTGTAACATATGAAAATAATTCACTATAACAGACGCTATAGTAGGTACAGTATATTGCTTGTGATATCTTGGTATTGTTTACAAGTCTCATGTTTGTTGCAGTACCTTATGATGCTGATCCTCGCAGTGGCAGGAGAAATTGGTGGCATCGTCGCTCTTAATCTCCTCCAGCTGAGGGTAAGTCTGTCACTTGTGTGGGGAAGTATGTTTAGTCCTAAAACATTTGATAGAAGATCAATCCAATATTCCTTTATTATTAATATTATTTAAAATGTTTTATATTGAAAGTTATGAACAAAGAGATTTTGAAGGAAGTGATTTAGTGTTCAGTACTGATTGGTGTTATTATCATTTGTAATGGCCAAGGTGACTGAAAATTACCCAGGTTATTTAAATTACTGCCATCTCAGTGACTAAAATTTGTGTTATACTGTAGTCTGAAGTTCTCTGCAGCTGGATGATGTCCTGATCAATGGATGGGCCGAAGTTAACCAGGGAACCCGCAACATCGTCCAGACAAATGTGAGTTGTTTTAAAGTCTGAGTCTTTATGAATGTGATTCTTACATTTACTGAATTTTCTTGGCCGCTTTTTCAGTATTAGTTGACAAATATTATTGCTATTAATAGTTACTGTATTTTTATGTGAAATATCAATTTATTTTTTCTTTTATTGCCAAATTGTACAAGGATTATTGGGTCCAATCTCCTGGATGCCGTGTACTTTATTTGTGTCTGGGTAATGAGGCGTCTATTTCCTTTGGGTCCATATAGGAATACCATTCAGTACTGTAAACTTTTAACAACTTATGACATTCCAGTTCAACTGTTGTGGTTTCTATGGTCCAAAGGAGTTTGCATATACCAATTACCCTTTGAGCAACTCATGTTATGACACCATCCAAGAGGTGACTAAAGAAACTTTCACCGATGCTCACCAGCTCAAGCAGGTAACTTGCCCTTCATTCCTGAGATTTCCTTATCCATAAATTGTTTACTAGATTGACTGATATTACCATCCAGCAACACAATTTTCAGAAATCTTTAACTCCATGTCCTTCCCAGTAACATTTTGTGATTTTGTATTTCTCTTTTCCTAACCTTTTGTTCTTCTTAACAATTTAAATCTTACATACAATCCTGGCTTTCTCATCTTATCTTTATTTTTTTAGTCAGGTTATCCTTGTTTATACCAATGGTTGTGTTCCTAGAGAGGGCTTGTAAGAGTGAAACCAGTACTGTACTGTACTGTATAAAAAAAAGTGAATGTCCTTAGTAGTAGGCAGCTATCAAACAGGGAGGTACTACCACCCGGGAAGATATTGGAAGCATAATGTAGACCCTTCTGCCATATGGCATCACAAAATTTTTTGACCAAGTCCCAGGCAAGGGGTGATTTAATAGAAGTCTATAAACACTTCAGAGAAAACTATTCAGTCGAGTGTTCATACCTGGAGCAGGTGGATGCCCACCTCACCAGAGGTTGCAGCCTCAGATTGAAGAAGCAAGCTCAGAAAATTGTCGGGACAACTTTTTCGGAAAAAGAATTGTAAACTCTTGGAACAATCTGCCAGTGTTTGATAGTACCAAGTGTGAGCTCATTCAAGACCAGATTTAACCAACACTGACAAAAGGTTCAGATTCATTCTGGACCCAGTACTTGCCAACAGTGTGTAACTGTCAAAGCTAAAGATCCATAAGAGTCCCGGCCCTGACATAGTGCGCATCCCAGAGTGCTGAAAGAGTTGTGTTCTGTAAATGCCTGGATGAACAAAAGGTCCCCAGTGATTAGAAAATGGCTTATGTGAGTCCTATCTTCAAGAAGGGCGATCGTCACTCCACAAATAACTATAGACCAGTGAGCCTGACCAGCATAGTCGAAGAAATGGCTGCTGAGATTCAATGTCACGAAGTGTAAGAGGATGCACCTGGGGCATACCAACGGTAAGGAGACGTATCATATGTCCCAGTGGAATGAAGAAACTGCACTATTTGAGACTGAATGGGAGAAGGACCTAGGTGTGTATGTTGACAATGAGTTGAAGTTCTCGGGCCATTGCGAGAAGAGGGTACTGTCACCCCGTCTGGTCCCCGAGTTGATTGAAAATGTTCAAAGGAGGGCCACCAAACTGGTGCCTGCACTTCGGCACCTCAGCTACCCTGAGAGATTGGAGTGCCTGAACTTGCCTAGCTTATACTACAGACAGGCACCGAGTGTGAGCTCTTTCAAGACCAGACTTGACCAACATTGGAGCAGGTTCAGGTACATTCAGGAGCCGGTACATGCCCAGTACTTGCCAACAGTGCGTAACAGAGACGTGACCGATCGCCCAAGCGGCCAACGAGCCGATCAGTGGCGAAGAGGATAAAAGTAAGTAAAAGTATGACCAACCACCCAAGTGGCTAACAGACTGATCAGTAATGAAGAGAATAAAGTAATTTATGTTTATGGTTTTCCATTTCTGAACTTAAAGCATTAGTGGATGCAGGATAATTACTATATTTTTTCAAGAAACAAAAATAAATGTTATAACTGATAATTTAGTCTGAATTCTATGTAATGAGTAAATATTATTTATCCCTTTCAATTTACACCATTTTAACAGAGGTATAATTTACATTTTTTCTCAAAATTAATGTCTGGTTACAACTTATATTTGTAATAAATTCAGTTCAGATAACAATGCAGTACTGTACTGTATATAATCTCAGTAGGTACCCTATACATGCTGTACGTGAAAAATTCACTGCTTTGAAGGTTCAACAATGATTTTGTAGTAAAGAAATCCTATTACAGTACTATTACAATAATTGTAACCTTTGACAAAAAGCATCAAAGTATGACATAAGTAACACCAAAGATGATAGAAGTTTAGGCTTATGGAAAAATCTCTCTCCCTCCCTCTTTACAGAATGGCTGTGGAGCACCACTCAAATTTTGGTTAGATGACAATAAGGCCATCTGGTGCTCTATCCTGGCTGCTTTAGGAGGACTCCAGCTCATGTGTATTATCCTCTGCATTCACATCATCCACAAACTTAAAGATAAAGCTGGTTACAAAAGGGCATCAGACAAGCGACGTCTTCATGATGAGAAAGGAGCGTACTCACTGTGAGCCGTGGACCACCATGAGCTAATATGGTGACCTGCAGGATTATACATGCCATGTTCTCCTATCACAGTAGACTAGCTGAGCTGCTTTTGTAGCATACCAGTTCCTTCATAGACAATTTGTTATTTAGAAAGATGATAAGTACCGTAATGGTCAGTTACTGAGCACCAGTAACCTATAAAGTTTATAGATTATCATTGATCAAGGTACATAGAAGGACAGGTAGTACCATTCTCATAGAGCTCTTTAGTGATTGCAAGAAGGAAGAGGAGGTTTTGTTGAGGTTTTCTTATGGTATGAAATGATGCATTGGCATAAAAGATAGTGTAGATTTTTTGTTTTATTGCAATTGGAGCCAATGATACTAAATAAAAGGAAAATTTATCACTCGTCAGAGACTCGTTCAGCATGCTGATTAATTATCCGTGGATATGTTGCTTGGCCCCTCCCCTTTCTTCCTCTTGTCAACTGTGAAGGCATGATTTTTAAAGCAATTACTCCAGTGGCTTGGGGGCTTCTGTGTTCATGAAAACTACTCAAAATCACCCTCTTGATTTTGTGAAAGGAACATCTAAAGTACCCCAAAAAATGAAGGGTGGGCATTCTGTAACTCGGCAATAAGGAAGAAATTCGAGATGGCTACCACGGCTTGGCGATATATACATACAAGATCCAAATCTGCACTTCTAATCATCATAGGAACATTTTTTACAACGAAATTCATGTAGATTCGCTGCAAACGGGTTTTCTTGGAAATCGTTGTCAATATGGTCTCTATTTTATTTTATAAAGAACATATTTTTACAGCAAAGGGATTTTTTAAGTAATCTTTTTAACATTTATAACTGTTTACATACTATGTATAACATGAAACTGAATCTTGTATTCAATGGGTTATATTTTACACACTTAAAGTATCCCATTATTGTAAAAATATTTATTTTGGCAAATCAAAAGTCATGATTATCCCAAGAACTTTCCATATCCAAGATTAGAAATATAAAACTGTTAGAGTAAATCTTGGTCAAATATGACTACAGTATATGTAAAAATACAGGTTTTCATGGGTAAGGATTCCAAATATATCAACCAAATTTATGTAAGATCACTGTAAATTTAGGTTTCTAGATTGGCTGCTAATACTGTATGGTGTCTTTTATGTTGATGGAAATGTAAGATACTGTGTGGTTCTGTATTACAAAAACTTCATTGAAATTACAGTAATTTCAAAATGAAAAGGGGAATTTTAAATCTGTTTCTAAAATAACAATTTAAATAACCCTTCATGTCTTTGTAGCAAGCCATTCAAGGCTATCATATATTTCATTATATACATATATATATATATATTGTCTAATTATATACAGTAATTATGAAAAGGCCAATTTCTTCCCATAAATTTAGATCAGAAAACACTGTCATGATAATGCTTATGTATGCTGGAAGCCAGAGAAACAAAGGGGCAGGGTCAAGTTAAGAAAAGTTGGCAACTAGGATTTTCACCGAGCCCATTTGAAGCTACCCACCTTGATCGTAAATATGTTCTTTTATGTTTTATTCCAAGCTGCTCAAGAATTATTTATCTGTTGGAACTACACCATGGAGACTGTGCCATAATGTTAGTGTGGTAATATGACTGTTCAGCTTTCATGAACCACAGTTGTAATCTATCAGCTCACCATATGAGATCATGGTAGGCCTGTGGACACTGGTCTTTTAAAATATCAGTACAGTTTTCAAAGCGAAAGTTACTGAGAATGGAAACTCTACAATATATATACTGTATATATATATAATTTTTTTGTTTTTGTCTTCATACAAAGTTGCTTCCATGTAATGATGTAATGTATATATTTTTGTAATATTTTTATAAACTACATGTACTGTATATAGATTGAAATTACTTCTGATTGTGTTTTTGTACATTATTAGCTATACAGTGGTCCCTCGGTTAATGAGCACAATTCGTTCCAGAAGGTTGCTCGTTAACTGAAACAATTTTCAATGGGTTTTTGGGTAATTGGTTCCAGCTCACCGAAAATTACATACAAACTAAAAATAAATGCAGTAAAGTACACTTACTTTGAGGTGTGCATGCAGAAGGCTCCTGGTTGATGATGATGGGAATTAGAATGGGGGTGGAGGAGAAGGGAGAAGAGAAGGCATTGGGGTGGAAGAGAAGTCACCCCATTTCACCCATAAAATTTTAGTTCACTTGGTGTAATTCAAGATTATTTTCTTTAAATCAACACTGCACTGCATTATATACTGTCAATATGTAAAATATATTTCAAAATGACCAATAATTTGACTGGAAACAGAAAAAAGCGTTTATGTTAAAGAGTCTCAAACAAGATGTTCCTTCCTCTGAACTGGTAAACAAACTGACGCCAAGCTTGGTGTGTTGAGTGGCTGTTTGGCGCGCAAAAAACTAGCTTCCTGTACTTCACTTATGTTCAATACGTAATTGTTAAAATGACAAAAAAAAATTAAAATAAAACTTTTAAAATTATTGAATAGTACAACCTTCTTGATATTTACTTAAATGGTAAGGAATTTAAGCCCTAAAACCGATTACTGTATTGGCGGATTAATACTACAGCTGGTGGGCAGCCAAATGCAGGCGAAAACATGTTGGGAAAAATTCGTAAGGAATTCGTTAACCGAGGGTTTGCTCGTTAATCAAAGTGAAGAATCTTATGGAAGGTAATTCGTTAACCGGGAGATCACTGTACTATATATATATATATATATATATATATATATATATATATATATATATATATATATATATATATATATATATATATATATATATATATATATATATATATATATATATATATATATATATAATTTTTGAGTGTTGATCTTATATCTTAATTATGGTGTAAAAGTGACCACACAAACTAATGTAAACAATTAAATTGCTGTTTACTTTTACACATCCTGGTGTGGAAGAGGAGTCACTAATATTCAGAGCTTTTTTAATTTATGTAGATTTTGCCAAAAAAGCATCTGTTTATAAAAATGAAGCAGTGAAAGTACAGTATAAAGAGAAATATAACCAAGGAAAGAGTTAGTGGCAGAGATACTAAAACTCATAATGGTTGTCTTGATGTACAGTTATGTCTGAATATGGAAGTAACCGATATTAGGGCTGCAGCATGGCATTTGGGTCTGCCCAAATAGACTAAGTAAAACATATGTTGATCTTTCTAAATTAAATGTATAATAACAGGCTCTTTAACTTACCTGGAACCAAGTGTTCCCAAAGTATGTGTACAGGTATGTTCTCAACCACCACAATACAGTGTGTTACAACCTTAGCTATGTTTGATCTCAAGGCACTTACAGATGTTATGCTCACCACACTGGTCATCATGTAATTAATCCCTTTGATTATCTTAGAAACCTTAGATGCAAAAATGAAATGTGGAGTAAATTGGTTTGTCAAACAATTACATTCAGACATTGGTAAATATTATTTTTTGCAGTGTTAACTTGCAAGGTGGTTAGAAAATTTAAAAGCTATGCAGTTTATATACAATTTATTTCAACCTCTTCATTCCAGTTGAACTGGATTTCAAGTGTACCCAAAGTGCTACTACTTTCTTCTCATCTATTTCATCATTGTTTACCTCTTCTATACCTACACACCCAATCAAAGGATTAAATGTGTTAGGTAAAAATTGTAAAATACTTTTCAAATACAATATGTAAAGTTCAAATAATTTCATGAAATTTCTCTTGTGTTTCATAAACTCTGGTTTAACTGTATAACTTTATCATTGTTGTTTTGTTAATATTCATACATTTATTTGGGAAAGTTGAAAATTTTTAACCTAATTTTCAGTATGTTAATATTCTTAGATCTGTACAGTGATTTCTGCTATAACGCGTGTTTTGATAACGCGAATTTGCTCTAACGCGATTTATGAATTAGGAACGATATTTGTATAACGCGAACGCTTGTTTGCTATAACGCGATTTTTGCTTACTATTTCTCCAATTTTGTGGCAGTGGGGTATGCTATAACGAATCTAATTGGTTCTAGAACCTTGTTCGTTATAGCATTCGTTCGTTATAGGATTAATCCGTTCCAGGCCCCCAAATACAACCACTTAACACCGAAAAATATAATATAAAATTGTAAAAATTGTAAAAAAGTGCATAAAGATGCATCTAAACCCCTGAAATAAAGAATATCATTAATATTTGTAATAAAAAAACAATAAATTAGAAAAAAAAAAATTAAATAATGTTCGTTGTAGGAGTTTCGTTCGTTATAGCATTCTCAATTTTATAGGTAAAACCGTTCGTTATAGGAATATTCGTAGTAGAATCCGTTCGTTATAGCATACCCCACTGTATTAACTGTGAATATAGTAAAGAAGAATATCAACAAGAAGCGTTCTGGTGATAGAATTCCCGGTGATGATCGTAAAAGAAAGGATATAACACTTGAAGAGAAGCTCGATTTTTTCAACCTCAAAATCACCCTTCTCCCCCATCAAGTTACATTCATATTTTTTCAAGGTAAAGTGTTACATTTACTGTATGATTTCATTATTAGATATGAATGTAACATTTATTTAGACTGTGCTATCCTTTGTGTTAGGCTAACTACTAAATTTTTTCGATTTCGAGTAATCTGCACCTAACCCTATTTTCTCCATAAGCCCTGTTATTTCTATTACGCGATTTTCTATAACACGATATTTTACAAGAACACAATTATCGCGTTATAGCAGAACTACCTGTATAGACAAGTGACATTTTTGTATATATATGTAAAATATGTATGTACCATAGCCAGTGTTAGTTGCACATATGTTACCATATAGGAACACTAGTTTTTTTACTATTAACTATCTCTTGTGTTGTCACTCATTGTTTAAATAAATTGTTTTTTAGCATTGTTTCCAAGTTACCCTGCACAACCTACTGAGATTATGAATTTTTATCTACTTTCAGTGGTCATAAGAACAGGTTCTTTTGAATTCCACTGACAATGTCAGTTTTTTTTTTTTTTAATAGGTGTGGATCTATACACAGTCTGCAACCCTCCCACAACAGCAACAACCATGAGGGATATGATATGTGACTACTGCGGGAGATGACGGATATGGATGATACAGGCCTGACCATTGCAACGTATAGGACGATGCTAACTGCCATAAAGCATGAAGGCTGTTGCTGGTATTGCCCTGACTGCTTAGTCAAGGTGAAAGAGGCGATTGCAAGATATAAGGAAACGAGTTCCCTAGGGGCGAAAATAGATGAAGCTGGAGCCTTGCAGGATGATAGTGGTTGTAGTAGTAGCGGCACTTGTTACAGTGACCAGTGGGATGGGTCTACTGGACGATGATGTCGAGGTGGCCGTGCAGGATGTGGTGGATGATGCAGTGCGGTCAGCTCCAGCCTTGTAATGACTGAATCATCAGTGGCCAGAGTCCTTTACAGGTAAGGACTCTGCCACTTAGTAAACATTAAGTTGCAATGTCAGCTGAGCCCAGTTCTAATAGGCCCTAGCCCAAACTAATCTAATTATCAGGACTAATTAGAACTTGGGGCACAATCTCGATGGTTAAGTAAGATTGGGTTTATGAAAACAGGGTAATTTTGTTGAGTTGGGTTCACAAAGGTTCATGATGACCCCCAACCCTGGAGTGTAGAAGCGCCAATGCCCAGCTTGTCATTTCAGTAACTATAGTCGTAGCTAAAGTTAGTCTATTCCTATCACCAGTTAATAATTCAATATAAAGCTGCTGAAATGCTTTATGTGGGTCGATGCAGTTGTGTGGGTTAGAAGCATAAGCACTTCCAGCAAACCTTAAAGGGTCCAAGGCCCTTTTAAATGTGATGCTATTCCCAAATACCATGGGGATGAGATTGCCCTATCCAGACTTCATATTGGCCACTCTAGGTTGACGCTTAGCTACCTGAAGGCCCTAACTAGTATGTAATGACTGCCTGGTCCCCTTTATTATTAAGCACTAGCTGGTCGAGTGTACAGTACCAGTCTGGGGGAACTTAGGAGGTAGCATCTCTGGACTTGGGGGGATGGAATGGTAACTATCGCCTATCGTTGGTTTTTAGAGCAGATTTTCTTGCTTCTAGAGTTAGTTTATCCAAGGACACGGGCTTCCTTCAGCATACCTTAGGTTTTTATAATCCTTGTATAGAATTCATCTGTGCCTACATACAGTATTTTAGTTTTATTTAATTTCTAAATAGAAAAACCTTTTTAAAAGAATACAGAATTGCATAACTATAATGGTTATGATGCTGGATATACTATAATTATATACAAATCTTCAAACGGGAGAATGCAGGAAAATGTTAAACCGGAAAAAAGTTTTCTGGGATGATTAGTAAAAACAGTCGGAGAACCTTTAGCGGACGACCATCTCTGTATTATGCCAGACGCTCTGTGGGATGCCACCCCCTTATATTATGCGGCCATTTAAAAAAAATTCAAAATGGTTCCCTAGATTCCATAACCCAAACTATTAAATGCCAATCCTCAGGAAACTGCTCAGACAATTTTGATGATCTTGAGGTCGTTTATTATAGTTTTGAGGATACCTAATAGAACTGTTTTGGAACGATTCAGGGTCACCATCACATGATAAAGGTCATATTTGGTCCTAGAAGCCTAGGTACAGGCGTCGGTTGTCAGATTTCATAGCTCCGCAGTTGTCAGGAAGCCACAACCACGTGGTTTCAGTCACAGTTGTTTGGTTTAAAGTTGAATTTTCAGTGCAACCTGTGTAAAATTATTGAATTAGTGTGATATCGGCAAGTCAAAGATTAACACGTAGCCACACTGTCAGACTGCAAATTGAATCCTTTTTCAAAAAGTAGTGTGTTTCCAGGGTGTGGGAAGAGGACCCAACTCTATGCACCCCACCAAGTGAAAGTGGTCATATTTGTTTACACAAAACTAATGAACATTGGGAAAGGTCATAGTTACTACAAGGCAAGTTATGACAGGAGGAGGTTGTCAAAACTTACCATACAATGAGAATACTTGGCGAGATCATTAAAACCAGCACCTTGACAGTGGCATAAGGAGATGCAGTGTAAGTGCGCTTTGTTGCATTTGCACTTGCCAGTGCACGATTTCGTACATCCACTGTGCTAGGAAGAGAGCCAGTTTTACCGACACCTGCAAGTGACTTCCAGAATGGCACATACTCCTTATGAGATCATCCATCTCCAGTCAGTAGGATCAGGAATCTCTTGATGAAGCCTGACCCCATATGAAAGCTGCCTGAAGAATGGCTAGTCTTGCATGTTAAAATGGACCTGCCTGGGTAGGTGGGACATTATTGAGGGTTCTGCTCCCTTTTGAAAATGTCTCCCTCTGTGGTTGTTTTACTGTAGCAGCTACAAAAGACACTGTAAAGTAGGACAATGAAACGTTCAGTGATCTGCATAGGTACAGATTCCATGGTGAAGCAGTCGGAATCACACAATATTGCGAGCAGACTAGCCATGAGTACCGGAAAGAGCTTCCACATTTCCCAACCTGTCTTCATGCCCACTACTACAAATTCCAATGTAGTGTCTGAGCCTGTCAGTGTACGGAATAAGGGAAAAGTCCCAACTCGGGGCCGGGCTGTGATGCTACCAAGTGAAAAGTCACCCATAGTTCAGACTATAACAGTTTGGGGAATAAGATTGTGACAACCACGACATAGTGTCCACTGTGAGCGAGATATGCTTTGTCGTGGCCGTGCTGAACTGCATGTTTGAAGTGGAGTATCATCCTCATGTCAGCTTCTTGATGGTTACATGGTTCCAGGCCCTCCGTGTCACTGGGTGGTTGTGTGAGGACCTTTCCCTCTTGTTGTGAGAAGTTGCACACACAAGTTCTATTTTCTTCTCTGTATTATTTATGGATGGCACTCCACTCTTTTAGGTTGAAGGGGGAGTGTTGGAGTAAGTTTTTGTACCTTGAACCTTCTCCTCGATTCACATGAGGTTAGTCTTTCAGGCTTCTCTCAGGTAGATCAACACAACCAGAGCACGAGATCTTGCAAATATCCACCGATCGTACTCAAGGTTTGGATGGGTTGGGTAAAATAGACTACAACGGGACCATTGAATATTTTCACTGTTAAATCTCCATCTGGTTTTTCATTGACATTTTAGAAGCATGTCAGGAGATTGGACTTCATACAGTTCACAAACGACCAGGAACAGATAATCATAGGGTTCTTTTTGATTTTCATACATGAAAAACTCTGCAGTATTTGCATATTTATCTGCACAGTTGCTCTTAAAACTGCCATTTATTTCTTGGTTTAATCACTGTCGGAATTGAGGATGAGAGGTGGCAGGTTAGGGTTTACCACCAATTCTGACTCTGAGGTATAGGGTGAGTGGGGTCTGTTGGTACTGGGAATGAACAAATACCTCAAGACACTCATGGTATGTATTGGGTGGACAAATTCGGGTTTTCTAAACAATTCATCCTGTGTTCCAGAATGAAAAGTACGGAAAGTGGCACGACAATTTTTTTGTTAACTGTAGATGATCTTGTGTCTGAAAGACTTATAAAACTGCAGGTGATGGGGTATTCAAAAATTCATTTACAGTAATAAAGTTTTTTTTGCAAAGACAATTTCTAATCCGAGATTGATGGTTTTAAATTTCTTGAGATGACAAAAAAAGTAACTATCGAATAATTTGTTTTATTCATATTTAACAAGTCACTACAATATAATTAAAACTATATGTGGAATGTACAAGCACTTATAACTAGGTGGTAAAACAAGTTGTACTGTACAGCACCCTGAACTGATGAAACCAAAGGATGACATCTAAAACCTTTAGCGTCATTATGGGAAAAACATTTCTTCATCTTTATCAACCATGAAGACAACATTCAAGACTTCCACAAAGTGTATAACCTTCAAGATGCCACATTCAATGTTTGTCACAAGAAATCTACAGTAAAGTAAATGACTGCCACGTTGTTACTCCACAAACTCTGTATGTAACCTCAGTGAAAGTCAAATAGAGTTATGGATTGAAAGAGATAAAAGAAATTAGGGTTGTCCATATGCTAGCTGGTGACAAAATACTAGAGACCTTTAAAACCAAAGAAAACAGAGGAAAGGAGTAGATTCTGGGGGCTAGAATGGCAGAAGGGTCAGAGTTAATCCACAAATTTGCTCAGAGCCGGCTTGCTACTCTACACAGGAGGCTATGTTACTCTACATTATACATTCCACTTTCCTACAAAAACATTAAGCAAGCTGACATCTGTGATAAGTTCAATATAACTTCCAAGAGCCAGCTGATGAAGAAGTAACTAATGAACTGGCTGATTAGGAAGTAACAGATGAACTGACTGATTAGGAAGTAACAGATGAACTGACTGATTAGGAAGTAACAGATGAACTGACTGACTGGGAAGTAACGGATGAACTGACTGATTGGGGAAGTACCATAATTGATGAACTGGCTGACTGGGAAGTAACTGATGAACTGACTGACTGGGAAGTAACAGATGAACTGACTGATTAGGAAGTAACAGATGAACTGACTGACTGGGAAGTAACAGATGAACTGACTGTGAAAGTGCATGATGGATCTAGTGAATATGTGTAGGGTAGTATGGGGTGGGACAGAGCATCTAGTGTGCAGAAAAATTACACAGTATGGCTACCTAGGTGATGGTGACAGCCTTGTGATGTTATACCCAGGGTTGGCTTGTCTATGAGAGAAGGAGACAGTCCCTTTTCAAGTATGTTTTTGTTATTAAATTACCTGCACTATTTTTTTTTTTATCTTCAAAATAATGATAGTTGGTGGTTGTTATAAAATGTGTACAGTACTGTATATAGAGTGAGGTTATGAGAATATAATGACGAAAAGGAGTTTACATTTGGAGACACAGGAGTGGACATTACAACATGGCATCTGCTCCCATATTGAAGCTTAGGTGTCAGATGTAGATTCAAGAAATTATTTAACAATTTCTAAATAAACATTACCTGGTAGTCCTATTTTGTATGCTGGTATATTTGTATCCTTTTATATTTCTCTAAATTGGTCTTTTTTCGAGGGGGGGGGATGATATGAACTGTGTCCGATCCTGTCCCAAATATGGTCCCAAACCGGACAAGATGCCATTTCTCTTTATCTGTAAATTTCAGATGGTTAAATGTTTCTGTATATTGAGCCTTCTACCACAGCAAAGTAAATGGTTAAGAGTCTGATCTCACCCCATACCACCCTACAACGAAGTGTAGTTTATAATTTTAGTTCTAGTTTTCACTTCAACATAACTTTCACTTACCATAACATTAAAACTTTACCTTTTCGGTTCAAGTATTTTCACCATCCTTCATCAAGACACTGTAGGTCACCCAACTTTATTTTGTATCAATTAAATTTTTAAGGTTAACTATAATAATTCAGGTCAACAAGGTCAGGTGGGAGAAATGTTACATAATGCTCAGGTAGGGGAGGAATGGGCAAGATGCTTAAATCTGTTGTTCAAGTCATTATGAAACATTAGTTATATTATTTAGTACACTATTACAATTTTGCCAGGGAAGTACAGGTATATCTCTCAAACAATTTGTTATTAAATGGCAGCATCCTGGTCTTATAGTTGCCAGATAGAAAGGAGTTAATTGCATGTAACTTGCATCTTTGGACCATGTACACTGGTGATGCAAATACCAGCTGTGTTAACAAAAAATGACATCACTTACCAATTCTAAATACTTTACAATGTATCAAATTTCTATTCCCACATCCACTATTCATCCAACAGCAGTTGACGAAGCGATGAATTTATCCTTCAGAATGAGATTTGCAGATTTAGAACTTGACAATAGCATCACAAGGTTTTGTTAGCTGTTCCCGACCTTTTAAGTCTACAAGTTCAATGCAGACAAAACATACAGCTACTGCCCCACCCAAGGATGTTACCAAATCACAGGCAGCCTTCATGGTACCTGGAAAACAAAATAAAGCTTCTTGGTCACATCTGCCCACCCAAGTAGAATACAAAACTTTAATTATAAAACAAGATGAACATTAACAAACTAATAATATTGAAAAGCAATAGGACTATTTCTTTCTAGATCTTTATATCCAGTCCAGGAATGTATCTCTTTACACTTTAAAAACTACTGGCATGATACCGGTAATTCACATAAAAAAAAATAATGGAAATATAGTACTGTAGTCGCTCCCACTACTTACAGTTTGTCAACAAATTAAAAAATCAAGAATTAAATTATGAAACCTTACTTCATAGCTATGGAGATAAAACAAATAACCTGTAGCATTCCTACAACAACTGCTAGGGCCAAGGGACTGATATTTTCTAGAAGCAGCAGGCTACACTGTCTTGTTGGACCAATGTATATTGTTGCCAAGCAGGCCTCTACCTAGTAAACATGGGTTGAAACAATGCTTTGGAGTCCTTGCTCAATCATTAGCTACATTAAGAGGCAGAAAGACTTTTGGAGAAGTGTTACTCTATGTCAAGGAACACCCGACAGTAGATCAGCAATGACAAATTACATGAAATGGTTTCCTCTAAATCAATCTTGTACAATTTGTTAGGACATAAATATTGTAAAGTATACTGATAGTGTGTGCTACAGGGATGACTGTATCAGAGGGGAAGTAATGCAGATTCTGAGTCACAGTCATTCATCATGTGATATTTTAAAAACATGAAAGACTGGGTCACTCTCCCCCCACAAGTTGTAGTGAAGAATTTCTTGACCTTAAAGAAGATTCATTTCATACACAATGTGACAGAACCCACAGAAGGAGAGAACATTTTGGTTGTTAATGATTGATTGAGGCACAGGTAGACAAAATCCATGATGAAGAAAACTGGAGGGGAGGGGGGGTGAAATAGAAGAATCAGATACTCTTGAAACAACCAATGGGCAAGGAGTTCAGGTTGAGCAGAATAATTGTGTGTTTTGTGACAGATGTGTGGCAACTCACTGACTTGATCATTGTCTACAAGCTGACAGCTCTCTACCATCAAACAAAATAGCTTTGGCATAGAAAAACAAAATCCAATGCAACAAAATAATTCCATCACTATAACTGACCAAATCTACAAATATGGTACTGTAAATGTAAATAATTAATAAAAAATAAATAAAAAATAACCAACATCAATACAAATATATGAAGAATTATTTTGGTCCTTGTTTGTTGCATGAAAAGTTACTAAGCAACAATAACACTAGTATGACAGAACATTGTAATCTACCCCGAGAATACTGCTCATGAGAGGCTCCATCTATAATTGTTGTGGTGGAAGTACTTAAAGGTTACTCATCAAAGGCCCATTTGCTATATAGAGAACACATGTGGGATCGGAAGAGTGAATATGGGAGGAATTCTTTATCTCTGCTCTTAATTATCCCACTGACAGTCAAGACTTTGCTTACCTCCTGTTGCTAACAGATCGTCCACAATAACCACCTTCTGCCCTGGTTTCACACTATTAGCTTGGGCCTCAAATACATCCTGCAAGAGAAAAAATACAATGTATATCAGTTACATTATACTCTTTAGGTATAATAATGTTCCTAGGTTTAGTAATCACACTCATTGCAAGTGATTGTGAAATGAATGGGAGGCACCCGGGTGATCTTTCACAAGTTTACTTCTGTCTTATATAAATATATCATCCAGTGTTGGGTGGTCAACCAATACAACTACTATACAGTACTTCCTATCACTATAAACACACTTTTTTGCAAACATTTCTGTGATTTTTTCCCTTGTTCATATTTCATTAATACACATTCATATTTATTACTGATAAAAATGCAGTAAAATGAACAGTATGTACATGTGTGTGTGTGTGTGTGTGTGTGTGTGTGTGTGTGTGTGTGTGTGTGTGTAACTACATGCACACAGCCAATAGTGTATATATGCACCTCTTTGTACATTTACAATTACGGTACATGTGCATGCACATTAAAAAGTACAAACATATTATTAAAATGACCATCTTACTCTAGCACCTACCTTACTCCAGAGACCACCTTAATCCAGTGACCACTATACCCCAGGAATCACCACACTGTAGGAACCACATTATACAATACCCATAACTACCTTCCTCAAATATTGACTTTATACAGTACTAGTGGCCACCTTAATTAACTCTCCCAACCAGCTAAATCCAGTCAACACCTTAGTTTTCAAAGCACCTTTAAGCACCCATTTTTTTCAAAGACCACCTTTCTCTAGTGACCATCACCATCTTACTGAGGTGATTACAGCCACCTTGCACCATTGACCACCACACTCCAGTAACTATTCTATTGCAGTGACCACATAATCATTGCTGCCCATGACACAACCAAGATTTTTCACAAATTTAATATTTAGTATTAATAATGCTGAAACACTAACATTTTAACATTCTCAACAAATTTAGTGCAAGTTTTTCCACTGTAGTGAGCAATTTTCATCAGAAAGAATTAATTTTAACTCTCTTAACTTCCTTAACCCAAAATCGAAATACTAACTGTTCCATATTCCAACTTGTAGGACACTTGCTTCAATTCCCCAGGTAATTTTCCCTTCTTCCTCACAGGTACGAAGGGTACACCCAGAGCAAGTGCTAGAGGGGTGCCCAACAAAAACCCTCTAGACTCAAGACCCACGATGATCTCCACATCAGGACATATAGCTCGTATGCGTTCCTCAAAGATAACCATCAAATCTTTGAATACAGGCGGGTCAGCAAGAACGGAAAAGATGTCTCTGAAAAGATTCACACTGTACCAACATACTGTACATGGGATGTGAAGTGTAGACTATTATAACACCCAACCTAGGCTTATTGTGCAAAATGTGTCACCAGGGGCAAGTTCCAAAACCCAAATGAATTGTACTTGACTAGTATGCGCTGTATAATGTTACTTCTCACCAAATGATATAACATTGCTGATTAGAAATTATTTAACAAAACAAATATGTACTAGCAACAAACTACACTCCAGTTCTAACATGTTATACAAAAATGTATCGCACACATTTCCTGAGGATAAATTGATTGAGAACTGCTAGTAAGGTGCAGTATATATGAGGTATCTGCACTGAATATCTTAATTCTTCACAGTATAGTATATAAACCAGTATCTAAATCAAAGAATGATGAAGTCACCAATCTAGGACAAGAACATCTTACAAGACCCACAAATGATCTATAGTTTTAGATAACCTCTCCTCAAGTTTTAAGAATTAGTTATAACAGCAACAAATGATATCACTGAGTATACAGTATAGCGGTGGGGATGAAGAACTGCAATCCTTTTAAATTTTACTTTGTAAAATCAAGGGTTTCAATTATTTATCAATACAGTAAATTATGGATAGTTTCAATGTGCTTTGAAATAAACAGTCAACAAAGGCAAAATACAGCATATATAAATATACATTTACATTATGTCTATATGGAGAACAGTCAGACCTTCTTGTGAATGGTATCAAAGGTTGCAAGATGGCAGTTTGGGAGGTGTGGTCAGTAGTGATAGGTTACTATTAGACTCATAAAATATATCAAGAACCACTGAATACAAATTTGGTTATTCTTTGATGCCTAATGGGTGTAGGAATGTGCCAACTTCAAATTCCTACAAATAAAATATGGAGACCCCAAATATCAAATGCGTCAGGCCCAAAAAATTCTAAGACCTAACTACAGACAGACACAAACACTCGTCTTTTGGATGTTCATGTATGTTTATATAAAAATATTGTTATTCATATACATGCCTATAAAGTACTGCACCTTGATTCTTAATCCTTTCATATAAAGTGTTTGTTATGCAGTACCTCTGTCTCATCTCTCCACAAAAAATATTATGCAGCGGTTTAGTTGGTACAGTATTAAGTCAGGTAACCACATGTAGTAAGAAATAAAACTTTATTATATTATAAGTACCCCCTGTAATACTGCACTAAGATAAAAAGCCTCTTAACAAATTATTATTGTACACTGGATATATAATATGTAATGGTACACTTTCTGAAAGGTAAAGAATAGAAACAAAATGCAATAACTTACTTAAACACAATCCCAGGTTTAGGAAAATCAGGATAAGAGGCAATCTTCTTTGTGATACATTCTACTCGTTTGTCTGCCATGGCACTTCCTATAAATGGATACATTGCGAGATAATAAAGAGCCACATCTAACACGTACATTAACACCTTAGATTCTACAAGTGCCTCCTGACTGTAGATCCCATAAACCTTAGAGCCCATAAGGGTAGTGTGGATACTCAGTACATAGGGAGACAGCATGGCCAGCACCACTCTACTGCCTCTCACTTCCTAAAGGCAGAATTAGGTACCCATTCTCCAACTGGATCACCAAAGGGTGCCCCATTCTGTGACTGGCTGCAGGAACCACACTTTCCTTGCACTCCTTTACTACTGTATTTTATTTGAGACTTGATGTAACAGAATAAAAGTTCTTTGTTATCTTCTCAGTATTATAAAACAGGTGTCACAAATTGAGAAACGAATCCTTCAAAATATGAAAATTTCCAAATAAAGGTGACTAACTGTTGATAAGTTTTGCCCATGTTTTAGTTCCACAATTGCAATAATTATGTTATTGTCATTTAACTCATCTGGACTATTACCAAACTTTATTTCTTACCTCAAGAATAAACCAAATTAGGTGAAGTTGCAATATTTGTATTTAGGGTAACAGTGATCCAAACAGAAAGCATTTCACTTCTGAGGAGCATTATGGTGGTCACACCGTCAAGGTATGTGAAGTTGTGAACACACTTCTTACAGGACCTATTAGCTGCATTACTTTATTAACCTTCTTCAAACAATGGTCTGAGAACTTCAGTTCATTGTCGGCATACACACCCACGCCCTTTTTACATTTGGTCCCAGTTAAAGTTACTTACACATTTTTGCCATGGTGAATCTTAACAGTCACTCCTTTGACCACTCCTGAAGTTGACAATCCATTTGATTCCTGTCACAATCCGAATAATTACCCCAGAATTATTTTACCTTCAGACAACACGGGAATCATAGGAATTTTACCTATGTAATCAATAGTTTAGACAATTCTAAGACACTTTTCTTATATATGCCAGAGGTTCACATTTGGTAAAATTATCCTTTTGGTCATGTTGTGAATTTTAGGATTTTAAGTCTTGGAACCAGTGGTTTACACAATTTGAAGACACTTTTTTTCTATAGCATTTATGTCGGATTTTATTTTATTCTTTGTATTTTAATTGATAAAATTCACTTGTTTAAAGTGAGCAGGGCTTTGAAGTTGAGGGAAAATTACCTAACCTTTAAAAATTCTGAAACTATAATAAGTTTATATACCATATACATATAGAACGAGCCAGTGAGCGAAATTGAGTGAAAAAAATTATAAAAACACCAGATTTTCATTGTTATATTAGAGTGGACGCTGTTGTAGTTGTGGAAACATGTTAAAAAATGGATATTTTAAAAATAAACGCTACTTAACATTTGTGGGTATGAAGAACAGACCTAACCAACCAAACCTACCTAACTTTACCTAACTTCCTTACCGGGGGGCTCAGACACCCAGTACTACATTGTTGTCTTGGCTTAAGATTCCTACTTATCATCATACAGTACTCCAAAATCTTTCTCACAATCTAGGTGAATTGTTTGTATATCTGCATTGTCTATACCCATTGTATACACGTGGAAGATGATTATAATGAATAAATATCCATCTGACAGCTGACTGACAGTATTGTATGTAGTTTATATTAAATAAATACCTTCCGTCTACCCACCTGTTCTTGCTTTTAGTCAAATTATTCAAGAGATCTTTCGGCCCTGTGAGTCGTGACGTCATTCTGTAACCACTCAGCTCACGGTATAGAAAAAAATTATTTGAATATATTGTTATGTAATAAATTTCTCTATATGAAACTTTATTCTGTAATGATGATACACTATATATATATTCATCACTTTCTTTTAAGGCAATATTATAAAAATATGAGTTTTATTTTTGCTAATGTTGAGCTAATTTGTACAGTGGTTCTGGTAATACTGCACTTGACGATGTAAACAAAGTCATCCAGTCATCAGCAGTGGTTCTGGTAATACTGCACTGGATGATGTAAACAAAGTCCAGTCATCAACAGGGAGTCAGTTCAGGGGAGTCTCCTACACTGAACTATAAACCAAGAAAAAGAAAGTTGGTTTAAAGTTGTTGGGATAAAAAAATCAGTAAATTACGTTAATCTGGTCTGGTATACTATCATGGCAGCATCCACAGGCACACCTAAGGTACCAGAATACATATTTGCTGAGAAAATTGGTTCTGGGAGTTTTGCAGATGTATATAAGGCTTATAAGAAAGGGAAAACACGGGAAGTGACTGCAATTAAGTGTGTTCTTAAGTCTAACCTCTCAAAGACTGCCCTTGACAATTTGATATTGGAAATTAAGATACTGAAAGAATTGAAACATGAGCATATTGTAGAAATGAAAGATTTTGAATGGGATGATAAGTACATATACATTATAATGGAGTACTGTAGTGGTGGAGATCTCTCAAATTTTGTGAAATCTACAAGACGACTACCAGAGACTGTGTGTCAAAGGTTCCTCCAGCAATTAGCTGCAGCTCTGAAATACATGAGAGAGAAAAAAGTCAGTCACTTTGACCTTAAGCCTTCAAACATTCTCTTAAAGTCAAGGAGTAATCCTATATTGAAGATAGGCGATTTTGGCCTTGCCCAACACTTGCCTGAAGACGACACCAACAGTACCATCAAGGGCAGTCCACTGTACATGGCTCCTGAAATAGTTCTAAAGCATCAGTATGATGCCAAGGTTGATCTGTGGTCAGTGGGTGTCATCTTGTACGAATGTCTCTTTGGGAAAGCTCCCTACTCATCTAAAACAATGAACGAATTAATTGAAAAGATTAAGAAGGACAAGGCCATTGATGTACCGTACGGCACAAACATTTCGCAAGACTGCCGAAATTTATTGCAATGTTGCCTGGAACGAGATGTGAGCAAGAGAATTGATTTTGAAGGATTCTTTTCACATCCCTTTGTTGACCTAGAGCACAAACCAAGTCCAGAAAGTATGACAAAGGCAACAGAACTTCTCACCATGGCAGTAAACTTTGATGAGTGTCAGGAATATGAAGAAGCTTTTAGGTAAATATATTGTAAATCATCCACCTCACAGTAAGACAATTCTGCAAGGCATAACTCAGTGGTAGAGTTACCCTAAATTTTATTGATGCCTGAAATGATTTGTTGCATAAATATGTACAGTACAGCAATGGTTAATGTTGACGAGATACCTGTCGCAGCCTAATATGTTTTGATGGATTTTTTGCTAATATTTCGAACGTGACTTTTACTAGTTTGGCGGACAATTTTGTTCTCAGTTTGCTCAATATTTGATGCTTAATGCAATGGAATTTTTTTTTTTCCACAAAAAAAGGGTGGATATTTTGACGTGGCCGGCTAAGTTCCTACTAATGCTATTTTACCGTGAGTGTGCTCTGATTGGCTAATCGTCCATTACTGGCGAACAACATGATAACGATATGTGACCGTGACTGGCGGAATTTGGCATTTATTTCACCGTGAGTCAATCATTGCGTAGCTATAAAAATACCTAACCAGAAGAGTTGTTCTATTTTGCTTATTCTTTCCACAGTTCTTTTATAAAAGAGGTGACATTTACTCGGACCTAATAAAAACTGACCTAACCAAACTTTCTAGCCAGCAGGCAGACTCTCCCCCCCCTCCCTCATTATATTAAACAGAAAGTATTATTTAGCCAGGGCACACTCACGATAAAATAGCATTAGTAGGAACTTAGCCGGTCACGTCAAAATATCCACCCTTTTTTTGTGGAAACGATAAAAAAAATAAAAGAAAAAAAAATATCTCCATTGCATTAAGCATCAAATATTGAGCAAACTGAGAACAAAATTGTCCACCAAACTAGCAACAGTCAAGTTTCAAATATGATATTCATTACTTGGGCAAATGTTTCGTTTGGTAGACATTTAGGCCCCTACGCTTGCACTATTGGTAAGGCTGCCAGATTGACGCTCAATTTTGGCCTCGGCTCACTGTATGAACTGCTTGGTCTGGGTGGCTTCTCTCGCATCCACAAAACACATAAAATTACACCATATCCTATTAAGTTCTTTTTGTTTAATATGTGGGGCTTCTGGAGGGTTGAGCCTCACGGTTAGAAAGTTAAGTAAGGTTAGGAAGGTTTCATTGGTTAGGTTGGTGAGGTCATCTAACAATGCTTCGTCCGCTTGTGTTTATCAAATAAGGTTGAGCGAGGTTTAATTTAGAAATAGCCACTTTTTAATACATTTACCATATTTAAATTAATTTTCTATGAAAAATCAGCGGCGGGTATGTCGTCAATAATTAGCCAGCAATTTTATTAGGCATTGGATGCAACATACACTGCGGGAATTCGTAGTACATTATGGTGCAAATTGAACGGTTGTGAAGTCATCGCATATTACATAATCAGATGCTTGGTTACGGCATGGGTCTTGGTGAAGTATTTCCCCAAACTTTTAATACCACCATTACCTGTAATCAGCATGAAAAACTCTGTTTATAACAATAGTAAATTTAGAGTTGTTTTCCCACCTCATTTGGATTCCATGCATTAAAAAATATTTATGAAAATCCCATTGAAAAAAGAAATGGTAATCCTGGAACCCATGACTAATACCAGAATGTATTAAATTTCGTTAATATTTTCCTCAGTAAGTAATAAAAACTACACAGTCATTTTCTTGAAGCATCATGGTGTACTGTAATTTTATGGATGTGAGCATACACTTGGGCCTGGTGACCCGCTTGGTCCGAGCATAAATAAGCATAGAGCAGATGACAACATGTGCCGACAATGGCAGATTTTCCGGGGTAAATTTACAGTGAATAATTAAGTTCTTGGCATATAAAGCATGTAGAGATCAGTTTTTCACTGTTTTTTTTTTTTACCCTGCAATGACCCTCATCCTTCATATCCTGCCTGCTACAGGTGATTTATGATTGTAGATAGAGAAAAAAAATACTTATAATAAAAATTAAAAAGTTGTCGTATCTTTTTTATTACTTACTATATTGATAAGAACATTTGTGGAAAAAAAAAAAAAATCGAACAACTCCTTCCGGTGTTACTGCTCCAGTATTACCAAAGATATTAATGTGTGCAGTCATTATAAACATCTTATATTAAGAACTTAACAAACCTTACCTTTCCCAATTGTAAAGGAGTAGAGTTTCTCACCGTTATGATTGTATATCATTTGATGTTCCTCGTGCCTTTTATCTGTATTGATCTTTTTTTTTATTTCAGGCACTACAATCAAGCACTACAGTACCTTGTACCACTCCTCCACGTAGAAGGTGATGCAAGTAAACGAACTGCTCTGAGGCGAAAGATTTCAGAGTATTTAAGTCGGACAGAGGACCTCAAGAAAATCATGAATAATGATAGTGAAACCATCAGAAATATCAGAATTCCAACAATACAGAGACAAGAGTCTACAGGAAGTACAGAATACCAGGGAAACCGTGAAGAACTCTTGAGATTAACAGCTACAACTCCACAAATTCAAACTGCAATAGAAATTGCAGCATCAGGAGAACTATATGCAAATGAAGGAAGCTATGCCACAGCTTTTGAGAAATATCAGCTTGCACTGGGAAAACTGCTTGAACTTTTACAAAGTGAACCAAAGGGACGTAGGAAGGACCTGCTCAGAGAAGAGGTCACACGATGGATGTCACAAGCAGAGCACTTGAAAGAAGTACTAAACCGAGTTACATCTCCAGGAAATTATACTGAAGAACTGTTTGTAATGGCTGATGATAAAAATTGCTCTTTGCAATGACAGGTTTGTCTTTTGACTGATTAATTATACTGTATTGTATGTAGGAGGCTCATAGTGTTCTTATAATGAACACTCTCCCAAAAAAGTATCGGCCCCGTGGACCTGATGTATTTGGAAATGAACACAATAACACGTTCACAACAGTTTCGGTTCGGTTTGTATTTCTGTTTATGAGTTGCACCTTTCGTTCTTCTTGTACATACCTGATAATCTCCATGATATCTGCAGTATACCAACTATTCTCTGCGTAAGGTAATCAAAGGGGATGAATTGTGATACCATATGCAAAACCAATAACGTCATGAGTAACCCCGTTGATTTATGCACCTTAGTCACTATTTCAGCCCCAGAGGATGGGTTGCCAAATAGGAATGTAACGTTACCATGTTTTCATGAACCGAGTTTACAATGGAATTGCTTCGAACGAAATATGAAACACTATGATCCGATATTACATTCATTTACAAATAAAGTAATTACAGGTGTACAGTATTCCCTTAAAGCTCGCTGGGGTTAGATAAAATGGACCCCATGAGAAAGCAAATTCCATGACTTTTTCTTGCCAGTCCCAGGAGTGTGCAAAATAAATAAATAAATAGCTTATGTACAACAACATTATGTATGCATAAGGCAATATGATAAATATGAAATAACAAACATCAGCATGAAATAGCACTGTGTGGACATTAGGTCCACACAGTAAGTTAGCTGTGGTAGTGACAATGCAAAGACAATACCTCTGAAATGCCAGCTGATCTGGTACACAGGATGTAAGCAATCCCTATACTGGACATTTCCTAGTGAAGATGCCCGGTACCAATAAGTACTTGTAATGTATATACAGTAGGTACCTGTATGTACAATTATATCCTTTTGTATTGAATTGGGTAAATTTAATTAATAGTACCAGCAAATGTTTGATAATACTGTAGGTCCATAAAGTGAGCTGTGGTAGTGGTGAACATGATAGCCTATAACCAGTGATTTGGGTTTGCCAGTACAGTAGGCTGTTAAATCTGCAAAATTTATTTTTCCAAAATATACTTTGCTAATTATAGGGTGCATCTTATGACCTGGGAAAGATGGTGCTCTGTACTGTCCTGTAGTGTTGACTCCTCTTGATCCCTGGCACACAGCCTCAGATTTTTTTATTTATTTCCCATGACAGTACGTGAGTTTCCGAGGGATGCAAGCTTTAGAACCACGAGCTTTAAGGGAATATACAGTATTTTGATGCCATACTCAGTTACAATGATGATGATTTATACTGCATTTCAATATTATTTCTACCTCAATTGACGAGGTAACAATTACGAATATAACGTATCTCGTGATTCGTGCTGGCAACGGAACATTATCCGATACACACTACGAGACGATGTCTGTCGGTGCAAGCTGTGTTTTCCAAAGAGTCTCTGGTACTAGTGTTAGTCATAGAATTCTAGCATAAAACACCCACTATTTGACTGCTGTCAATATATTTTCGTTACATTAATATCATTATATTATTCTACTAAAGATGGAGCAAGGTGATTCACCATAATCACAACAAATGCCTGAAATAATAACTGGTAACTTCACAGATACTAGGAAGGTAGACCTAACAACATGATGCAGGAATCACAATTAGTGATCGGAAATATTTGTCCATTGTGACACATTGTATCGATGAGAAAAGGGGCCGATACTTGTTTGGGAGTGTGTGCACACAAACAATATTAGCTGCACGCCTGGGTTCCAATGTTTGGAAATGATCACAATGTACAGTACTGCAGTTTTGGTTCTGTTGTCAAAGATTCACAATAATTGGTTGTCCATTGTGTCATATTGTATCAACAACAAAAGGGACATGGTGTTTTTTGTTTGTGTACAGTACAGAACATATGTTTAACCCTTAGGCCCCGGATGACGTTCCAGAACGACTTCCTATTTTCTCGCCTTTTTTTTTTTTTTTTTTAAGTAGATTTTTTTTCCTTGATTTATCCCCGCTGGGTGGGGAGGTAGGTGTTACTGCCAGCAGCACCCTAACCCTGGGCTTAGGGTTAATAGTTGCTTTGAAGAAACAGTCTTAGGTAAAAGTGGACAGTACTGTACTTTTAAAATATCTGAATTTTGCCTGTAGAACACAAGCACTGTACCTGTATGTACAGTACTGCTGTTGAGAAGTTGTTTACTTATTCTGAGATTTGGGGAAGCTGCCACAGCTGTGTTTTCACCTTCTAAATAAGTTATGAAAATTGTACAGTATTACTGTAATTATTTTTGAAGGATGCAACAATGTTTCTGAAAGGGTTTTATTTTATCACACCTAGCTACTTTTTGTGTAATTATCTAACACAAGACTTAGCAGATTATGTGGAACAGCTACTTGTCCCAGGCAAGTGACTTTTGAAATTTACTTTCCAAAATAATTTTTTTACTTGCCTAGACAAATTTGGGAGGAAATTGCTTGCCCCTTTTTCTGGGAAAAATTAAATAAACATTTTAAAACATTCAAATTTATTGTGTGTATCAACTCTCGGATCACTTGACTGTCTTAAATCTTTGTAGGGCAGGGGTTCCTCTCAGCTGAATAAAATCGTCCGGCATTAGCCACAATAAAATACCCCGGTGCACTGCTGCCCTACAAAGGGTTAATACCTTACACCCTCACCCTTCTCCATCCATCCTGTCGTGTTAAGAATTTTCCTCGTTTCTTATTCATGTTAATGTTTTCACCTCAGTTTGTAGCGTAACTCTGCTGACACAACAATCAGTGGGACCTACCGTATACAGATTTTCAGGTCAGGTCATTGTGAGAATAAACCAATATGAATAGAAGGGATCAGCTGTGATGTTACTGAGGCTGAAGCATCCACCTGGGCTTTATTAGCAGGTCAGGTCATTGTAGGAACAGAAAAATCTGGTATCAGCTCAGCTGTGATGTTATGATATGCATCAGGTCACAGACACACACAGTCCCTCCACTTTCCCGTCACCTCGCTGGGTGAGAGAGCTCACTGGTCAAGCATGTATGGGGAGGTGGGGGTCATGCAGTACCTGACAAATTCCTGTACGGATACAGGTATTTTCCTCTCAAAATATGAACTTGTTCCAGGCAAATGCCCGGCACTGCTAATCTTCATAGCCAGCCTGCCTGTCTAATACATTTTCCCTAAAACATTTATTCTCAGGAAGATGTGCCCATAATCATGTGTAGTGCAAAATAGCTCTTCTATAATCCATTTTAAAGTACAGTATATTATGAGATTTAGGACACAAGCTGTGTACTGTTATGGCTTCTTCTTTTTTGAGACATGTTGCTTCATTTTTTAATCAACTTTAAATTTATAGAGAAGTTGCCCAATAAGGTTTTTCCTTCAGTGCTTGCTAATATGTACATTATGTGGTTTCAGTTAAATATTGCCAAATTATGATCCTATTAGATAGTGATCATAACTTCATAAGTATTTTGAATTATTGTACAGGTATACCTCACTTTACGATGTTCATCCAGCATGGTTTTCAAGGAACCTAACCCATTCTTTAAGATGGGGATACGTACCTGTACATCATTATACAATAATATATATTATGTATATATGGAATGGGTTATATATTGATGGTACAGTAATAGTTCCTAAACTTTTATTCTTATTTTATTTTATTTATTTTTAATGGAGATGGTTCTAATGACAGTAAATTACTGTATATTGTAGTTTGGATTTTCAACTCCCACTTGATTACTATGCTGTACTGTACTTTAGTTAGATATATATACCAGGTTTCCAAAAGATCACCTCACTCAGTAGCAACACAGGTAAATGTATAGATGTAACATACAACTTGGTAGGATGAACACACACATATAGTTTCATGTTATAAGAGAGAATGACAATGTTTGTTTGTAAATATAAAGGATTAAATACTAGAAGCTCAGTTAATATGAAGTTAACTCGGCTAAAATTATTACATCTATTATATAAGCTTGACAGTAACGATTTACTGAAACGATGGTACACTCCATTTACATTGATGGAAATCTGTTAATGCCTTACATAGTGATATACGTACATATTTTTCACTATCCTACAGAAGTAGAATATTGAATTGTGTTATTTGGCTGTGTTGTTCAGCCTGGTGCCCACCTTTCCTGACCTGACTGAAAGGGATTTTCAGGTATGGGGATTCCCAAGTGCAGACATTGCCCAATCCTCGTGTTTGTTACCATTTTATATATTGTTTGTCGATGCAGTATATTTACGATTAGTAGAGCTACATGGGTACATACATCTATTCACTAAATTATGATTCCCTTCATATAATTGTAGGTCATTTTATGTTCTGCTTATTAAGAATACCGGTAATCAAAATGTATGACATGCTAAATATTTACTGCTCTGTACTCAGCCAATGAGCTGCAAGACAGGGAGGTTTGTGCAGTTCTTGGTGTGGTCTGTACAGAGCAGGTTGCTTATGCTGTATTATTGTTAGAAGATGTTAATGTTGTTGACTAAAAAAATGCCATCCTTTAACTTTGCCAAGTTCTGTACTACTGAAGTATAAAGGATCAGTTTTTTATTAGTTTCAATTTTTTTTTCATATGCATACAAGACTTTTCTTATTACCGTATATACTCGAGTACGGGGGGGGGGGGGTTAAACTATATAAGCATAATATTTTTGATGGGTTAAAATTCATGTATTTCTGTGGGTCATTTACGGTGTATGATAGCTACCCGGTACAGATAGCCAAAGTTCCAGTGATCTCATGTCGTAGTTGCCATATTACCCGATAATGCTTGGTATAGTAAAATGAATCTATTTTTGGCTGTATCACTGTTAGGATAAATATTAAACTATCCAAAGGTAGCATTTTTATATTAATAAACTATTCATCATTATTTCAGATCATGAGAAGTTTACAAATGTTCGTATATTTGCTTAAATAGTAAAGAAATTGTCATGAATTAGCAACTTAATTACATCCAGGGCTGCCATAAGATTCTTACATCACATTTCAAGAATACATGTTTCACATTTAATCTCAAGTGTTTCATGAAGGAATTAATTGTCTTTACAATGTGACCATTACATAATATAACAATTACAGTATTCCCCTAAAGCTCGCAGTTTTAAACTTTGCTGTTGGAGTGAGCTTGCGGCCGTGAGGTAGCACACGCATTTCCCTGCACCTATCTGCTGTCCTCCCAGTGCTGTTCACTGACTGATTTCTTTGAAGCATTCTGTTTTACCATGCCTCCCAAACAGTGCAAACAAACAATTTCTAAATGTACATACAGTAATAGTAATGTAAACAATACAGTAAAAAATAAATGTAACACTACTGGGTGAGGCGACGGGGCAGGAGGAGAGGCGACGGGGCAGGAGGAGAGGCGACGGGGCAGGAGGAGAGGCGACGGGGCAGGAGGAGAGGCGACGGGGCAAGAGGAGAGGCGACGGGGCAAGAGGAGAGGTGCCGTAACAAGACACTCACACAGCACACACATTAACAGCATTACTAAACCATTGTCTTATAACATTTAGTTTCTTACTTCCATTTTAAAATTTCCCAATAATTCATACATGATGGTTCTAACAATGATACCTCATCTAATGCATACATAACGTCATTATACATGTGCGTATAGCTAGTTATATGTATTTTGTACATTCCTGGGACTGGCATGAAATACTCGCGGATTTTGCTTTCTTGTGGGGTCCATTTTACCTAACCCCTGTGAGCTTCAGGGGAATACTGTATAACGCGAATCATAATGTGTAATATTGGAAAAATGAAATATCTAAGTGGCAACAAATGTATGGAGTTAACAATATATAAAATATTGTCTGTTTAATATCTGGTTATCCTTTGTCGAACTAAAAATCAATAATTGTTCGGCAAAATGGACTCAGCCATAATGCTGCACTGTTTGGTTAACTTTAAAACACATTCAGCCATAGAAAAATTATAAGATTTTAGGTAAACTAATTAAAGCAATGATAATGGTAATCCTCCCAGGAAGAGAACAGAAGATGAGTGCGTGTTGCATCATCCATGTCACACACGCTCGGCACAGCCCATCTTGGTTTCCATTACTTTGAAGTCAAATTACAAATTATATATTGTACTTTTTCTATAATTTAATACTGTATGTTATATTATTTATGATAAAACATACACCTTAGAGGCTGATTATACAAGAATACAATAAAGAATAAATAAAAATCAACCAGTCCAGTCCCCTCCCCACCCCCAAAATCTGATTAGACCACTATATAGTATCCCCCTTAAAGACAATACAGTAAATATTTTAATAAGGTACAGTTATATAAATATATTTTAAATAAATTCTTTAACCCTCTCTGCTTTGGGTCACATCATATGATGTGCATCTCTAGAGCTTTAGGTCACGTCATATGCCTCTTGATCTTTCACGGGGCTATTTGAATATAAAGGGCTGGTCTGGCTAGATTATCTTGCCAAGTAGGTATATATCTTTCACTCACTCACACATAAGAGCCTCCCAGTCTCTTCTCACCTTTTGTGATGTAGTCATCTCGTCCTTGGTCTTGACTCACTTCACCATGTGTTTCTACCCCCCAACCACATGTCTAGTATTGTGATCAGTTATTGATAATAGTGTAAATAGTAATAACATAGTAAAACAAATGTCCTGTACCTCATACTGCTTACAAATTAGTGTTTACCCCCATACTATTGCTTCACACACACACACCACTCCACGAACATTCTTGACTAACTAGCTCCTTGTTGCCAACCAGTGGTAAGGACATGTACAGTATTTATTTCCTTACATCATGTATGGCCAGTTTGCAAGACTAGAATTGTTTTTTAAATGTTCTCGAGTATACGTGTGTGGGAAGGGGATGCTGACCATAGCCTGAAGCAGAGGGCTAATGAGTGGCTGCTCAGTGGCCCCTAAAACCCCCACTTGGTAAAGTCTGGGCAACAGACAAGTCCAGACCCCTTTTCCCCTAAACTGTCTGGCCTTTTGAGGATTTACTGTATTTAGATTTATTTGTCACATTTACTAGTACTACTTTACTGCATAGTGGTACAGGCATCTCCATTAGCTGGAATAGTTGGTGCAGAGCACTTCCGGGATTGAGATATTTCTGGCTAACGAGACAACTCCCAAAGCTGGGAAAAAAATCCCCCTTCCCCGGAATTTCCCGGATACAGTACCATGAAAATTCTCTTGTTATTTTGCAGAAACTGTCTCAGAAAATTTTTCCTAAACCTGGAATATTTTGGAAAATTCCAAGAAAATTTCAATTCTGGCTATCTGAGAGTTCTGGTTAAGAGCGATTCCAACTAACAGACATTACTGTATATTATTTTATCTTACTCCTCATGGAAATTAGTAACTGATGGGAATTCAATTTCAAGAGTTGGTAACACTGCACAGTGTCAACTGTTGTGGTGGTGGTGGTCACGGCCAAGACAAGTTGGTGTGAATCTTGTGTCCTGCTACAAATTGTATCTAGTATTATACCTAGTACAGTACAGTACTGTGTTTCTCAAAAACTAGGATCAAATTATACAAGAGATACAGTATATGAAAAGCCCCCTTTTTTTTCCCCAAATGGGTTTAATTACCGGTACACATATGGGATCTGTTTTTGCACGAGTATATACGATCTATAGCCAGTTACTAGTCAGAAAAGGAGTGAAATTCTGCCATTTTATGTTTTAGGCTTCTGGTTAAATAATGAACTGTTTACACTTATTCTTTTTTTTTTTTTTTGTAAGGTTAATCCTTTCCAAAAATTAATATTAGTACTGTACTGATATACTGTACACTTTAGGCCATCATGTGCAGTAGCTAAAACAACTATCTGTGGAAACTTTGTGGGAAACAATTTGAGACCATGGACAGTAAATATTGGTATATGAGGGCTGTCACTAGTCACACGTAAAATTTTGGAGCATATCGACCCCCACCTGCACAGATAGTTGTTTTAGCTACTGTACTGTACATATAACTAATTCCACTTGCTACCATATCTCTAGCCTTAGTATTTGTATACAATACTGTACATGAAATACAAATGAATTCTAGTGATCTACTAAGAACTTCACAACTGCCTGGTATATAAAATAAGATAAAAAATTGCCTCTTCTGAAGTTTATTTTGACATTCCTGAAGCTTTGTTAGAAATATGAATCGCAACAAAACACGACATATTCACCAATACGCCTAACTTAATACAGTACTGTATATAATTTACAATATCCAATGCAGAGTATAGCACTACATACAGTACAGTACAGTTTATGAATGGGGCAGGAGCTGTAGTCCCACAAACCCCTGAGTAAACTTGGGCAACAGCATCAATGATTTGGGCAAACCATATGACTACTGTATTTAATATTGTCCTTAAATATCTCGTGCCCAGCTTTTTAATGAAACAATACATCATACAGTTTTTCATGATAGCAAAAATTCGGGCAAGAAGAAGAGTAACGACTTCACAGAGAAACTGGGCAATAATTAGCTATGGGAGAAATTTTAACTAATCATCCCCTATGAAAACAGCAGACTTTTAATTTTGATCTTCAAAAATATGTGGCAGGGTAAGCGAGATAGTTTCAGTATGCACTCAGACACGGAGAGATAGACATGCTGTATGTCTCGCACTGTTTCATATCTTACATTGTTTCTGCTGTGATTACACGAAAAATGCTTCCGTGAAAACAAATGTTATTCATGCAACAAAATATGGATTATCAAGGGACACGTGGCAAAAAAGTTCACAAAGGCTTGCTGCTTTACTTGAATCATCACTCTCACAATTGGATTGCCACGAGGGCATGATCACTCCCACATCTCGCTTCACTTAAGACTTCAATTAGTAGAAGTGATTATAAATGAAGTCATTCCACTGAGGGGTAAATTTCTTAATCAGAAGAAATTAAGTGTGCTAGCCCGGTGGGTGGCACTAGTCATAGCGGCCTAGAAGCAAGCAGCAAGCCTTCGGGACTTTTAAAGGGACCTTGACCTCAAGCCCTGCTACCAAGACACGGATTAGAAGAAAATACCATTGTATTAATAAAGATCAATATTAGTATTATTAAGATGACGATTAGAAGTTCATCACATGGTAAACTGGTGGGCTTACGGCTGAGTAGATCTGTACAGTCTGCACACCCCACCCCTCTCTCCTAAACAGCAACAACCATGAGGTGTAGGGATTTGGGGGCTGAAGCGGCACCAAGAAGTTTGTTGTATTGCGTTACAGAATGCGGTAAAGCATGAAGGCTGTTGCTGGTATTGCCCTGACTGTATAGTCAAAGTAAAAGAGGCGATTGCAAGCTATAGGGGAGCGAGTTTCCGAGGGACAAAAATAGATGAAGCTGGATACTTGCTGGTTGCCAAACTATAACAAGTTGGGAAAGAGATCCTTGCTAAGACTGAGGAAGTAGCAGGTAGAATGGAGGTGGAAGTGAAGAGAGTTATGCTCAGGCCTTAACAGGGCCATGGGAGGGGGCAGAGAGTAATGCAGGACCCAAACAAGTTCTACAGCAGCTAGGGACTCTGAAGAAGGGTGTTGAAGAGATGGCAACTAGCAGACCTACTGTTAGGGGAGAGGAGGAACAACAGGAACAATGTAATAGTTTATGAAGTCCCCGAGAGCCATTCGGAG